AGTCTAAATAAGAGCGCTCAAAACGAGCAGTGTGTACAGTTTAGGTCAGAAGTTTATATACGCTCATCACTGGGCATGAATGTCACGCTAATTTGACTTGTTCTTTTTTCCAGGGTGGAATGATTGTACAGCATATATCTTTAATGGCTTTAAAGTTTGAATTTATTTTGGATTTTCCATACACAGTCAAAAATATACATACTGGCTTGAATATATGCAAACACTGACACCTCAACCAGATGCTTTTGGTAGTCACCAGTAAACCTCTGGCATAATTCTGGCTGGTTATATGACCAATCTTTCTGGTACAATTGGTAGAGTTTATTTAAATTGGTTGGATTCCTGGGATGGATCCAACTTTTAAGTGTAGTCCACAAATTTTCAATAAGGTTGAAGTTGGGATCTTTGGGAAGGACATTCAGTAAGGCTGCGTTCACACTGTAGGCGAAAGCGCATCAAATCCGATTTTTTTTTTTTTTTTTTTTTTTTTTTGTGACCCTATTCGACCCATCTATCCGATCATGGTGTGACAGTGTGAACGGCACAAATCCGATCTGGGTCACTTTCGTATGTGGTCCTGAATCCGATACATATCTGATGTTTTAGAAAGCGACTGCTGTTTGATGGTCATGTCGCATTAAATCCGTCTTTTACGTCACTGACACAAGACAGACACTAATTATCAGCTCCGGAGAAGACATCACGAACGCTTCCTGGCCATCCAGCGTAGATGTCAGTGAAACTGTTGGGAAGACAGCGTTGGAGAAACGTGAACATTTTATTTGTACTGTATAATCTGCAGATTCTGACAGAAATCTGCAGCTATCCTTTGAAGCAGCGCTCCTCTAAAATAGCAATAAGGATCATTATTAGGTTATTTACATTATTATGTCAATAACAAAATAACTTAAAGCAAAAATTGGAAAACGTAAAGTCTGAAGTCTTTACATTAAGGCCATCAGTCAAACATGCTGTTGTTCTGGGTCTAAACAGAGCGCGTTGTGTGTGACGTCTTCTTTTGCGCATGCGGCCGCTTTGAGCGTTCACACTAGAGCGCGTTTGCTGTCGCATTTTATTTGTAGTGTGAACGAGCAGACAAAAAAATCGGATTTGGTCAAAAAATCTGAATTGAGCATTAAGACCTGCAGAGTGAACGTAGCCTCAGTGTGATGTTAGCCTGCTCTATCCATTCTAAAAACACTTTTGATGTGTGTTAAGGATCATAGTTTATTCAGATGTGTTGCAGCAGGGACACATTTAAACGTTTCAGGACTCCGGCCCTCGAGGGCTGCAGTTTGACACCCGTGCCCTAGTGTGTCCAAGTTTCAGGTGGTTTGAGGTGAAGTCGGAGAATTTGGAGGTAGACCAGAGGTTTCTTAATAGGTCAGCACCCTCTCAGACCATGACAATGTAAAACTCACTTCACGGTGGACAGTGTTGATGGTGTTCAGGCAGTTTCCTCTTCGTGGCAGACTTTAAAATTGGTCAGATAAATAAATGCTTAGTGGTGGTGGATGCAAAAATGGTGCAGATAGACTTAAAGTGACTATAAAGAAGTTAATGTGTGTCAGGTCTTTTCAGACAGGATTAAGAAAATAGGACACTGCGAGAACCAGTGAAATGATCACAAAAACGAGCCTGAATGTGTGGTTCTGTACTCTCACTGGACAATGTTTTGTTCTCTTCTGCAGCGTCTCCAGTTGGAGAACTTGGGAATCCTGAGGACTTCTCCAGCTGCTTCGTTCTGCACCAAGACTGAAAAACCAGCAAAACCTGGGAAGAAGACCAAGAGTGCAGGCAAGAAAAAGACCTTTGGGTTCTGTTAACTGCTTTACGCTGTGGCTTTTTAAGTTGTGCTGGGTGGTTGCTTTTGTTCATTCATACAATAATGCATATGTGCATGATGAGTATATGTGTACTTTCAGTTATGATGCCTTTAAAGCGTAACATGCACCTCTTTCCACAGTGAAGCTAATGTGCCATATGGTCAAAGGAGCTTGCAAAGAAAAGCGTCTGGACTTCTTTAAGTTGCTTGAAGACGTTTCACCTCTCATCCGAGAAGCTTCTTCAGTTCTAAGGTCAAATGGTGGAGAGTCCCAGATATAAACCTAGTGGGAGTTTCCCCCCACAGAGGGACAAAAGGACCCCCTGATGATCCTCTAATCGCCTGAGCCAAGGTGTGAAACTGGGTGTGGGTCCCAATCAGCCAGAGTTTCGGGTGAAGAAGCTTCTCGGATGAGAGGTGAAACGTCTTCAAGTAACTCAAAGAGGTCCAGACTAGGGCTGCCACAAACGATTATTTTGATAGTCGACTAGTCACCGATTATTTTTGCGATTAGTCGACTAATCAGATCATCATCCATTGGACGTAAAACTACAGCTTATTGCACCAGCAGCATCTGCTCTTATATAACTATCATTAGCTTACAGCTTTAAGTGTTTAAGGTCTGTGCTAACTAAAAATAAAGACAAGATGATAGTTTATTAAATTTTAATGAAATTTGCAGATTGTTTCGGTGAAGTTTAATAAACTCCTTGCTATCTAAAATATACCCCAGAATATGCTCCAGAATATACCCCAGTGTCCTGGGGTATATTCTGGAGCATCTCACACTTCTGATAATCAGTTGTCTGCTTGACGTTTATTCAGCTGTGTAAAAACTATAACTTTAATCTCAGACAAACTGATTTACTCAGGAACAAATAAAATACTAAAAAAAGCCAAACAATAACATTTTAAGTTATCTAAGTGACTCATATATATTTAACCTGAGTAGCGAAAGACGGCGGTGGGTTTGAAAACGATTTGCGGGGAGTCCGGTGTTCTCGCGGCGCTAGTGAGCCTAGCCCCCGGCTCGCTAACGAGCTAGTGGGTAACAGATGTCTCCGAAAACGTCGGAGCGCTTTTGAAAATATGTGGTGTCCTGATAAACTGAGCCGATATTTGAGGTTTACACAGCTACATTCTCGCCTGAAAATATGTTAAACGTTTATTTTGTGACCCAGAAAGAATAATAAGAGTAAAGTTAAAACTAACTAGCTGCCACCATTGTTGGAAATTGAGCTGGGCCGCGCTATGAATTCTGGGACACAGCTGTTTCTTCTTCTTCTTCTTCGGGGTTTAACGGCAGCTGGCATCCTTGTATATGCAATGCTGCCATCTTCTGTTTCAGTCCGTTATTACACTCTTAAATCCTGCCACTTATTCCTGCGTCTTTTGTGATCTTACAAAGCTTCAAACGACGCGTCGACTATTAAATCAGTCGTCGACGATTTTGATAGTCGACGTAATCGTGACTAGTCGACAAATCGTGGCAGCCCTAGTCCAGACGCTTTTCTTTGCAAGCTCCTTTGACTACGATGACCTGGATGACTGAGAACCTTCACAGACAATGTGCCATATGATTTTTACATTTTAGAGCATGTGGTACATTTGAATCATTTTAATTGAATTCACTAGAAGTCTGTAAGGGAGAAAGCTGCTGCTGTTTTACTCTGTGACATGTTGTTAGTTTTGTGGTCCTTCTGTCTAATAGCCAATTTTCTAAATTTGTACGACGCTATTCTGAATGATCTTAAACATGTTATTTCTTGATAATCAAAATTCCCCATCTCCTATTTTAGTGTAGAGATGCAGACTTTGGGTCGTCCCTCTTCTCTTCAGTGTTCATGCCCGTTTTAATGTTGTGGAGCTTGAAGCCCTAAAAATCCAGTATTTGTTTGCAGCACGTACCTGCTTAGAGATTCTCTTAATTCTGATTCTTTTGATGATACCATGAACTGACGCGATTTCAAAGTCTCCATAATTTTACGTTATACTGAAATCGTTCCACAGTTTGCAGAGGCAGTTTTTAGAAGTTGGTGATCATCTGTTCATCTTTGCTTCTTTAGAAATTCGACCTCATTAAGATGCTCTCTTCAATCATGTCACTGACCTGTTGCCTGTTAAACTAATCGGTTACAAAATATTTTCCCTGCCATTTCTTTTTTTAGTAACACTTTTCAAAAAAGCTTATATTGTTCATAAAATTGTAAGATGTGTCAGAAAACATCAAATGTTTAAACGATGTTCTGTTACGTATACAATAGGTTTGTGAGGTAACAGTTCCAGATTCTGGGATTGGGGAAGTACATTTGATTCGAAGTGGGATTTAAAAGTATCTAAGAGGAGTTGTGAATGCACACCCACAAATCAAATTGAATATATTATTTTATTATTTAACTGTTCATGTTATATTTACCATTTTCTTCAGCAACAGAGGCTCCAGATGAGAGAGCAAACCTGTTAGCCTACAAGACAGCAGTTGCCTTCCCAGTTAGACTTTCAGGGCCTGGATGTTTCCCAGCACAGTCTGTGGATGGAACGGGACCAGCGGTTGTCTCCACTGCAGAAAGCATTGTAGCTGCACAAGCCATCACTCCTGTTACTGCTGCCAGTGAGCAAGTAGCTGCTGAACCAGCAGCCGACTCCGATTCAGACTCTACCGACTCCGATTCAGACTCTACCGACTCCGATTCGGACTCTGACTCTGAGGATGAGAAGAAGAAAGAAATCAAGGGCTTTGCACCAGAGGCAGAACCCCAGAGGATCACAGTCACAGGAGTAAAGGCAGGCACTATCGAAGCTCAGAATGAATATGGGGCTCCTATCACACCTGGTGTAGAAACACCAGCACCCTTAGGAGCAGCTCAAGCTACAGTGACTGTACCCAGTGTTGGTTTTGAGAAGCTGGTGAAGTCAGGCCCAGAAATCATCACTCGAGAGGTGACTGGGTCTGACGTTTCAGCCAAAACTGCTGCAGGAGTGACAAAAGATGCTGCATTTCCTGTTGATGCTCAAATAGAAGCCATTGGTGAGGCTCTAAAAGACCCAAGGTCTTCCTCTGCTGAAGCTGCTCCTGTGGCTGGAGGCGAAGCTGCTGAAGCTGGAGCAGAAGATGCCCGTCCTGCTGAAGCTGTTGACGCTGAAGCTGGAGCAGAAGACGCCCGTCCTGCTGAAGCTGTTGACGCTGCTGCTGAAGCTGGAGCAGAAGACGCCCGTCCTGCTGAAGCTGTTGACGCTGCTGCTGAAGCTGGAGCAGAAGACGCCCGTCCTGCTGAAGTTGCTGCTGCGGCTGAAGCTTCAGTCTGTGCAGGGAGCACTGAGGAGCAGATGGACCTTGCTCCTATTGTAACTGAAACTGCAGGAGAGGAACTGCAGACAGATGCCACAGCTGAACACTCTAAGGGTACACACTACACTACCCTGACCCTTAAATCTTTACCTCCCTCTCTTTTTATTTATGGCTCTTCTAGAAATGACCATTGTTTTTCTGCCTGTGCCTCCAAACACAGTCTGAGTGCTGTTGCTCTGTTAACCAGGCGGCAGCTTCCCTCACATGTAACAGTTCATGTTGTATTTTAAAAGTATCGTCCGTGTTTTCTATTTAATGGCCTCCTTTAAGCGTCTCTAGGTGTTGGTTTTATTATCAGAATGCTACTATGTTTAGCACCGTTTGTCCAAGACAAATTTCCCATGTGGGACAAGAGGATAAGAATAAACATTATCAACTTAGAAGTTACAGCAACTAAAGCAATATCTCTGATCCCAACATAAATAAGGGAGATGCAGTAGTTTAAACTTGTCTGTAATATTAGAGAGTACTTTGGGATATGCAACTTGTTTTTCTCTGACAAACCCCAAAACACTGGCAACAATGATGTTCAGGTTAAAGACAAACGTCGGAGGTTTGTTGTTCCTGACATTAGAATATGCCAACTTTACACTGATGTTGATTGTTTTAAGTTCCCTGAAAGTTCTGCTCATCCACATAAGAGAACTGAAAAAGTAAACGGGATGAAAACCTCTATGGAGGTCATCTTTGCAGATTGAACTGCTTGCCAATTTAGTGCTGGCAAACAATAACGGGACTAGAAAGTAGACTGAAATCATCTCAGGAACATACTGTAGGCACATGAAAACTGGCACAATATCATGTTTGTGACAGAAACAAGCTTCATTGAGTTTTCTTCGTTCTTTCTGGGATCGATTATATTGGAGTGCATGATGTCAGATAGTGTTTTCTGCAGCTCCTGACCCCTCCCACACCCTCTAGTCACAGAATGGCTAAAATGCTTATTTCCTGCTAATAACATTGAAGCGATCATATAGTGGACATATAGGGAACACAGGTTGAGCTGATTTCAGTTGTGCTACAGTGGTTACTGTACTCTAATGTGGAACACTTCTTTTTTTCTTTTTTTAATATACACTGCCGGTCAAACGTTTTAGAGCACCACAGTTCTTCCAGTTGTTTGTTGCAGTTCAAGTCATTCAGGTCCAATGAACAGCTTGAAAATGTACAAAGGTAAGTGGTGAACTGCCAGAGGTTTACAAAAAAAAAGTTACCCAAAACTGTAAAATAATGTACAGAATTATACACAAAGGCCTTTTTCAGGGAACACAACATAGGTTAACAATTTAAGGCTGTTGTGCAGCAAAGGAGGTTGATCAAGCCTTGAAAGCTGCTGCTACTAATTCCTACAGGTGTTCCAACCTTTCTGGATTACTTCCCCCTCTGCCTGCATAAAAGCAGTGTTGGAACACACTGTGGTACCATACCCTCGTGAGCATCAGTTGAACTGTATTGTACTGCTGAAAGTAGAGTGTTGCTACAAAAATAGCGAGAAACAGGCAGTTAAAAATGGAAGAGAGATGGACCATCATAACACTTAAAAATTTCTTCTACAGAGAAACTGCAAAGAAAGTCCAGGTGTCAGTGAGTAGTTTCTTTCACCATCCAAAGGCTCAGAAACAAACTGTGACAGGAAGAGGTCTGCAGACCCAAAGACACAACTGAATCAGAGGACAAGTTTCTGAGAGTTAACAGCTTGTGTGATGGCGGCTCACGGGACAACAGCTCAGTAGTAGTCGTAGTAAGCCCCAAACCCCATCGAGCTGGTTTGGGATGAACTGGAGAGAAGAGTGGAAGCAAAGCAACCTACAGGTGCGACATTTATGGGAACTTCTGCAACAGATATTGGAAGAACTTTGTGAAGAATATTTGATTTCTATTGTAGAGAGAATGCCACGGGTGTGTGCTGCTGTTATATCTGCCAAAGTGGCTACTTTGAGTCAAAAGTTTAGAATACATTTTACTCTGTAAATTGATTCTATGATTTGTTTTTTAACTCAAATTGCTCATTTGTACCGTTGTTTCATTTCAGAGTGCAATGAGACATTGAACTGCATAATTTCCACTGAAAATTGGGATGTTCTAAAACTGTTGACCGGTAGTGTATATCACGAGGTGGAATCTTTTAACTTCCTGTTAATCATGATAGAATCATTTTAAATTGGAATAAGTAGTTCTTCTCCAGTTGTGCTTTCTACTGTACACACTGTGGGTCGATGCTTGTAGAGCTTTTGGGCTCTTTTCATCCATACTCTGTTATGCTACTGTTGGAGGATTTACTTGACTTGTATACTCAAACTGAAGTTAATTGTTGTGGAGGATCAAGGGCAAAGGTGTATGTGATTAAAGGTTTGTCATCAGATGAACTTACTTCTTGCATACTGCTACACTAAACCTGCTTGTGCAGTCTTCCTTTTGACTTTGTGACCAACTGAACTCTTTCACAGTTTGAGTGTTCTTGTCCTAGGACTGCTAACAGTGTCTGTTTTCCCTCACAGAGTAGTTGACTGCTATTTTCTCATGTTAACGTCTGTTCACATGGGCTCATTTGCACCCTTATCTTTGTGTGTATGGAATGTGAGTTACAGGTGCCTGAGGTAATGTTGAGGTCACAGATCATTAACCCTGGTGCATCAGTGGCTCATGATTGTAGTGTAGATGAATATACTGCTCTTCCCTAACAGCAGCTGGACGAGGAGAAGCTGGGAGTGGCTGCAGTTGGTGGGAGTACTCCAGGAATCAGGATTGCAGGCCCTTTTTTAAAAACTGAGTCCCAAAAAAGAAGAGTGCAAATCCTTTCAGATGATCCAACTACACAGCTGTTAGATGTGTTTGAAGTTGGAAGTGTCCCACACATCCCAAGACTGTATTCCTGCTTCCTGAAGTAACCTTCCTTCCCCACTCCTCACCTTGCACCACTTGTTTATTTCACATTTTGAAATCTTAGCTTTTGGTTTATCTGGAATCATATTCGTTAAGTGTAGGTGGAAAAAAGTTTTTAATGTGTTTTCATTTAAAAAAGAAAAACAAAACTTTACTGTCACAGCATGCTGGCAGATTTACAGGAAATCCCTCTCTCTTGTATCTCTGTTTAAGAGTAACATAGCGCTGTGCGGGTGTCGGACATCCCCCCCCCCCTTTTTTTTTTTTTTTTTGACTTGTTCCATTTCTTTTCTTACCTCTGCAGTATCACTCTTTCTCTATGATGGGCTGTTTTACTCTCTGGAAACATGTTTTTCTTGACATCCTTTTTCCAGTCACAAACATGATCCTTGATGCTCCTTATGCTAGTGTCTCCATACTCCATTGGGGGTTGCTGCCACTGTAAAATGTGGCCACAAACCTCCTTGGGTTGGCATGAGTAATGTGGAAATGTGCAGTCCCCTCAAAAAACTCTTACAAAACTGCATCTTTGTTCTCATTTTTAGAAATTATCAAATGTGGTGTGATGAATCCCTTCAAGCAGCAGTTACTACTTTAAAATCAGTAACAGGGACACAGGACTAAACCTAGTACTGCATTAACTGACCTGGTTTTATTTCTGTTCCCAGACAAGACATTTTGTAAAGCTCACCCTTCTACCAGTTTTCTTACATCTTTCTTTCCCTCCCCCTCCTTACGGCAGAAGCTGCAGCTGTGCCTTCGGAGCCAGAAGAACTGTTTGATAACAGCACTTACAAAAACTACCAGCACCACAGCTACAACCCCTACACATTTGCAGACCTGGATATGCAGATGGCCAAGTTTCGTCTCCCTCAGCCCTCCTCTGGCAAGCCTTCACCCAGGCACTAAAAAGAGCTGATATGACCATAAGTTATGGCTTAAAGATGACAGTGATGGCAGTGTCTCTTTTTTCATTGTCCCCCTACTTCTGTTGTTTTTAAAGTAAATCATTAAAGTCCACACATAAGAATTGAGGTCTGTTTTTTGCCTGACTTGGTTGTTTTGTCTTGTATAAAGCAATTGGTGTATAAAGAAATGGGAAAGATCAAACAGTTCTTTTATCGTGCTTTTCTGCCTTAGGGGCATCATTTGAATAGAGCTGAGTGTGCAAGTGGTTTATCTGTGGTTCTATTTTAATGATTACAATTTTGACTCGTTTAGCATGCCTGCATGCACATAATGTTCAAATTATCCATACGCATTCGTTTAGGAATAAGCACTCAGCAGTCTGTTGTCTTTCACGCATTAGTATGTTGATGATTAAAACGCGTGTATATAAAGGAACGAAGCATAAAGCGAGGGAAGTGAATCGCTTTTGCTAAGACAAAAAAAAACAGCAGGGCGCAGGACTCGCAGGCAGCAGAACGTCATGTCTCCGCCCACCTAATACATAATCATGAGTCCTGCGCCCCTGCGTGCCCTTGCGCGATGACGTAACGCAACAACTGCGGGTCCCGATTGCTGCAGCCGCTTGTCAGTGTGACGAAGATTGGCACTCAGGTAAGCTGTCACTCAAAGTCCCTCTTTTTCCGTTCCCTATCAATCAAACAATCTGGGCCGCACGCAAAAATGTCCCGGGGCGAGGAGCGCGGACTTAGTCAGGGCAGCAGAGGGTGTTTTTTAGAGGAAACAGAAGCGGCAGAGCTCTGTGAAGGATAAAAAAAAACTGTATACATGGGAGGGGGGGTTAAAAAATATGTCGGCGTTTTGGGGGCTGAGGAGGATTGTGGAAAAGCAAAGGGCGAGCGCTAGAAACGAGGCCCAACACTTTACCACGTAGGGGAGGGGAAGTAGAGGGCAGCTGTCCCCGCTTGATTGATTGACTGAAAAGGGGAGGAATTTAGGATCAACCGGGCTAGCAATCCAATACTTAATAATTTCTTTGCTGCCCAATTATTTCATATAGCTGACAAGAAATATAATTTAATTTTAAATGCATACTGTTAAGCGACCGACGCTGTCTTATTATTTGGTAAAATGGCTTACTTCGTATCAATCCGCAGGAGGGTCTTTTTCTGTACCTGGCTAGATTGGTCAGCTAGCTTGTTTTTTGGCCGCGATTACCTTCGCTAAATATGGCGCTTTGCGTTTTGGTTGCACTACCAACACGAATACACTTTGAAGTTAATACTTAGCTACGTCGAAGACGTTAGCTCGGCCATATGGTTGCTTATTTGACTGAAGCCTAGGTTGGCTTCGTGAACTAGCGCAAATGTGTCGTTTACGTTACTGGATAATTGTTAGCTGTACGAAAACGACCGTTTTCCCAGTCGGGCTGCTTTGTTTACGAGTAACGTTAGTCGGGTTATAGGAGAGTAGGCTAATATTAGCCCAAAGGATTTATTTCACTTTAATGTCCCCTTGCCGCCACGGTTGCCACAGCTAACACGAGCTAAAGGCTAAATCGTGGTGGGTGTGTTAACATCAATTGCAAGACACGCTAAGATATAACATCAGCATTATTATTTGTACAACACCCCTTAGGTTCATGATACCAGCCTCTTCTTGGCTTTTAGAGGTGAGCTGGATAAGCTATATGCAAAGAAGAGTAACGTTGGACCCCGTAGTGTGCTTTCGCTACTAGCACGTATGAAGACAACATTCATATTCAACTTATCATTAGCCCCTCTCCATTTCTGTTCTAATATTGACATTTTGTATATATTTTGCATCTTGGTGTTACAAAGGGGAACGGTATTATGTCCATACTTCTGTATTTTACCGTAACAATGCCAACCTAATTAACAAAGCCAGTAACACTGATAATAGTTTAATAATGAAATCAGAACAGTTCTGTCATTTGAAGCTTATGTGCAAACACCTGAGGCAGTCTAACTGAAACTGTGTGTACTGTGTAGGTTGGCCACCAGTCCCTGCACTCTATAATGCCCCAGTGTTTGCAGCATCTGCAGTGAACGTGATGGCAGCCCACTCAGTCTCCATAGATAAGTACCCAAAGGGAGAGCAGCAGGTGGGTGAGAGGGACAAACTTTGCTTGGACCTGCAGGGAGCTATAGTCTGCTCTTTTGAGATACTAGTTAACTAAAGAGAATAAGCACAACAGCAGGACGGGATACTGTTTATAATTGGGACAGCTAAACATTCTAGGCTAAAACTTTGAGTGTTCTGGACTCTGCCTAATAGATAATTTATTTTTAGTGGTGAGAAGTCAGCCTTGGTAGCAGAATAACGTGAACACGCAATCGGTGTCAATGCTGTTACACCAGTTTGAGTAATATATAGACTGTGAGCTTGTCTCTGAAACGCAGTATGGGAGACATCAGTAATGCATTGTAAGCCTCATTTCCTCCTAGTATTTATCTGTATGCATATTTGTAAATTGCTTAAAAAACATCTTTATTTAGGTGCTAAAATTTGTGGGTGTTGAGAGTTAAGAATGAACTATGACTAAGAAGAAATGTTCCTCCCTACGCAGGCAATCATTTTTGGTCTATTTGTGTTCAATCTAAGTCATTGTTGGCTGCAGTCACATGGTTGGGGATGCTCCTTGAAGGGACTGTGTTGCCGGTAGGCAGGCACAGTGTAAAAAGGAAGAAAGACTTTGCTCAATAAAGTATTTTGCAGAGCCTCTGCTCACATTTCAATTCAATTCAGTTTTATTTATAAAGCACCAAATCACAACTACAGTCGCCTCAAGGTGCTTCATATTGTAAGGTAGACCCTACAGTAATACAGAGAAAAACCCAACAATCATATGACCCCCTGTGAGCAAGCACTTTGGTGACAGTGGGAAGGAAAAACTCCCTTTTAACAGGAAGAAACCTCCGGCAGAACCAGGCTCAGGGAGGGGCGGGGCCATCTGCTGTGACTGGTTGGGGTGAGAGAAGGAAGACAGGATAAAGGCATGCTGTGGAAGAGAGACAGAGATTAATAACAAGTATGATTCGGTGCAGAGAGGTCTGTTAACACAGGTGTATAGAAGTTGGGGGAGTGTATTCTCAGTTGTTATTCTTTGGACACCAGAGATGGTAGTGTTTCACTTTCTGGATCATGAGGGTTCTGCCAGACCTATGCACTGGGGACTTAAAAAAATATTTCAGAAAAGGGTTACAACCTAATGAATCTTAATAGCTTTCCATTTCTTTTAACAGTTTGTTTGAAAAAAGTATGGAGATGTTAACAAAGGGAATGGAAGTAGTGACTCTTAGTGGAGGAGTTGTTGATCTCCTGTCTACAGCCCCACAGGATGTAAACGTGAGCATATCCCATGTGCTTTTTATGTAGCCGGGGTTGTTCAGTTTTAACATCTCTGCTGGTGGTTTTACTGCTCCTCAAGACTCAGGAAATTAAGGCAAATAAAGCCATGTTGGTTTAATTAAAAAGGCACACATCTTACCATACTATAGTTGTATACAACATCTAACATCCTCCTCCTTCATCCTTGCTAATTTGTTAGTTGGATTAGCAGTTAGCACACACACTGTTAGAAGCTTGTTGTTATACACCAGTGTTGCTCATAGTCGAGATGTTTGACTTATTAGTCAGTGTAACTTTGTTATCCTGACTTTAGACAAGAGAAATGACAGCTACATACACACCTCAGAAACACAGTGTTACTGTAATTATCTAAAGATTCAATGTTGCCTTTTGAGATTTTAACATAAAGAGAACTCGAGACTTGCACTCTCTGAGCAGTATAATTTTTTTCTTTTCATTTAACAACATGACCCAGAGTAGTAGTAGTTTGTTTTTTAAATCAACAGCTGCATTTACTCAGCTAAAAACAAGTGAGGGAGACTATCAGAGCCAACTGGGTCTGGATTCTTGGGTCCAGTGATTTGTAGAAACCTACTATTCTTACAACACAGCTGTCCTGTGCCAGATGTTCGTTTGACCCACTGAGGCAGACATCGTGTCAGAAACATCAGGAGGACTGAGGTTCATTAGAGGGATCAAGAAGAGCTCAGGCTTCAGCATCAGCTCCCTCAAAGGGAAATCTTCAGATCTCCACCGTAGGCCTAAAAGGAGGACAAACCCAGCACTTAAACAGTGTTTCTCAACTTTTACACAATGGTGTTACATTTAGTTCAGTAGAAAATTATTTAAAATCTAAACATATAGTAATCACAGAAGTGTTGCCCTAATATGTACAGAAGCTGAGCACAGCGGACATCATCAGTTTTCTTGAATCCCAAACTGAGTAACTGTTTATGCGCCTAAAGGTAAAGAGGATAACGGTACATATGATACCAATTACATGGATATATAATCCCTTTGACTTTCTTTCATGAACTTCCTCAGTAAGACAGCTGCAGCCTTCACTGACGGTAAATAATCTGGCAGTTTAGCCTTGTTCTTTTTTAATCAGGTCATTTTTGAGTTACTATAATTTTGCTCCAAAGTTAAATAAGTGAATTTAGCATAAAGAGTGGGCTTATTGGATGATTCGTCTGTCACTGGGTGGTGCTGAGAGCAACTCCTGTAATCAAAGAATCATTGCAGTCAAATGTGAAGTTTATCCTTTAAAGCTCATCCTTTCATTATCCTGACACACATTGGTTCTGAACGTCTTATATATTTTACAGTCTGCAATTCTGATGACAGCTGACATGCAAAGTGTTTGTTAAAAAACAAAGCTTTATATAGAGCAATACAATAAGCATTAGTTCTTTCCATGGATTTTTAAATTGGATTCAGGTCGTGTGATTGGCTGGCCCTGATGGCAGTTGATTTTTATCAGGAATGTCGGTATATTTTTCCATTCATCCTTCCTTCAGATATATGAAGTGTGCGAGTGCCGTATGCTGGAAAAATGGCCCCACACCATGATGTTCTCACCTCCAAACTTCACTCTCGGTTTGGGGTGTTTGACTTCCAAACATGGTGTGTATTACAGCCAGTGTTGGTCAAGTTACTTGAAAAAAGTAATCAGTAACTAATTACTGATTACAATTCTACTTTTTCTGCATAATCCATCATGCAAAATGTAATCAAATGGAAAAGTCTCTTTTTTTTTTTAACTTGTTTTATCAGTTTTAATCTTTTAACTTTATGCATCAAGCAAAAATTAAATTATATGCAACATTCTCTGACTGGAAGAAATTAGTTTAACATTTAAACCTATTTTCTGCACATTCCAGCGCATAAAATAAAATATTTTTTGTGTCTACACTCAGTCTTTCAAAGTAAGTAAGTAAAACACAGCAGAAAATAAATAAAGTCAAAGACTAGTGGTCCTGTTGCTCTATTTTCACCTGTAAAGTAGGAGTGGGGCAGGCGGAGGTTTACCCTGGTGCAGGTGTGCCGCAGCAGTCAGTGGAAGAATCCGCGAGTTTTTGTGAATTTCCCATTACGTCGTTGTGCACTCGGTGCTTGTTTAGGGTTTTTTTTCGCTGTAAAAAGAAGTTTTCTTCCCACGCACAACTGACACTAATGTTTTTGTCACTTTTTATGGAATCAAACTCAAAGTAAGGTCAGTACTTCCACGCTTTAAACGCTGCACGCTCATACTCTCTCCCGCACTCGATATATTATCCACTGTTGATCTGCACACAGCTGTTGTCACGAACGTCGCACTCGCTTACGTCACTGTCTTGAGACATTCTAACGCATTACTGCCCATCTCTGATTACAGCATCCAAAGGTTTCAGTTTTGGTCTCGCCTGACCAGAATATGTTCTCCCAGTATTTCACAGGCTTGTCTAAATGTTGTTTAGTCAGGCTTAAAACACACTTCAACATGCTTTTTCTTCAGCGGTGGAGTCTTGTGTGGTCATTGTGCATACAGGCCAGTCGTACCTGCTAATTCCAGATCTCTTCTCATAATTCTTTTGACTCCTCTATGGGCTCAAATTGTGGTCATAAATATTTTGTACTTGTAAATCAGTTTTGTATGTGTAAAAAAAGATTTGTGTGTGGACTTAGCCAAAGAATACATGTGAAACTCTGCACTCAAGTTTCAAGTTACAAGTACGAATTTTGATCCTATTTTTCTTCCTTTCATCTGATTGGTCAATGTCATGTCAATCACAAATGTAACTATTCAATCAGAAAACAGATGGGTTTGGCTGTCGGAGGGGCGCTTTTTTGAACTGCAGGTCCTTGAAGGGTGATACAGTTTGAAGCTGGAGGATCTCTATATAAATTAGAGATGGCACGATACCACTTTTTTATGTCCGATACCGATATCATAAATTTGGATATCTGCCGATACCGATATGAATCCGATATAGTGTTTTTTTTAATCAATAAAACTGTTTTTTTAATATCTTGCTGCTTTTTGTACAAGTTCATACTCAAGTTAAAAAAAACAACAAAAAGCACTAAAGCTATTCTGTTATACCTGTATGCCAAAAATACACTGCACCCAAAATATTTCATAGTTCAGCAACACTGATCAATCTAACAAACTTAAACCTGCTCCATCCTCCCTATTCTGGTATTTTAAAGAGTAAGCAAGCTAACTAATAGGGTCCTAAAACTCCCAGCAAAAAAAAAACAAAAAAAAAGGGAACCACCCCCCACCTCATGATGCTTAATCGACGTAATCAACTTTAATTTGATGCAGTGTGAAAAAAAAAATGCACATAAATCAATTATTCTTTTCAAGAATAATTAAATAGATTCAATAGATAAAGTACTATAGCTTACTGGGGTATATTAGACTTAACAGTTACTATATACAGTAATGGACTTCTATACATTTTACATCAGATTAAAACTTTGGGTGTAAGATTCAGATAATTATTTATTAAAAGCTCGACATTTTAAATGAGAATAAGAAAGAAAAGTATGTCTTTGTGCCCCCTTTTCCCTGTTCATGCCCTATCGGCCCCCCTGACTAAACTTTTCTAGATCCGCCCCTGCACAGTTACCAGCCGTCAGCTGTAGAAAAGGATCCTGGTGTAGAAAGTAATATTAAATACATTCTAACAGCAGCTGATCAAGCTTAAACGTGCTGCGGTTGTTCAGCCGCTGGTTTCCTCTTTCTGGCGCGAAGTGGGCGATAAACAAAGAAGAGAGACGGACTCGCGACAGAAAAGCCGATCAGCTGATCATTGATCAGTGTCACGATTGAAGTAGCAGCAGGAGAGGGAGGGAGAGAGAGGCAGTCGCTCCATATCGGTTGTTAAGCTTAACACAGGAATGCTTTACAAACATTCAGAGATGAACTTACACACTTGCTTTACTTCTCTCTGGGAAAACTTCCTCGGAGATAAAATGCTGGTTTGGTAGCGAGGCTACAAATACACACAGTCTCTCTATCACGTGAGCATACTGCTCCAACGTTCTAAGGTTATGAGCCGAGTTACGCCATGTCGCAAGTTTTGTGAGGTGCTTTTTTGATATTTAATGGATCGGATTACATTTTTTATTTCTCTCAAATATCCGATCCAGGAATTTACGTCAGTATCGGACCGATACGTAATATCGGATCGGTCCATCTCTAATATAAATATCTAGCAGCTAGGTCCCCTAACTTTCAGCAGCTGTTGAAAGGATAAAGTTGTGGTATATCTAGTGGTTAGAAATACCATCATTAATTTTGGATTAGTTTAACACAAAGTCAGGGCTGACCCGGGACCATTGCTGTGAATCACAGTGCGCAGCATAAAAGTCCTTTCACATCAGAGGCAGCATGTGCTGCTAATGCTAACTAAAAGCAAAGGATCCAGAATTTGTTACGCTGGCTGGTGAGCTCTGTGGGGTTTTGCAGCAGCTCTACCTGTATTAGATGCACCTGCTCCTTGTCGCTTCTATCTCTGACTTCATGTCCTCTACAAGAGTTTGGTTTTTTTGCTGGTTCTTCAAATCTTCAATAAAACCATGTATGCTAATTCATAACGAAGAAAGCTTTGTAACTATCCCCACCAGTGAAGACTGTCATTTCAAAGCACTTGAATTAATATGTGTAACTGGGTGTAGAAACATGTTCTTTCTGTTAGTCCAGTTTCCTTATTGTCAGTTTGAAACAGCAGGTTGTGGTTATGGAAGGTAAACAGACCTTCTCTCAGTATCTAGACTCTGCCTCCAGTTCCCAAGCAGATACACCCAAATTTCTCTAACTGTTGCTGCTAATCAGACTTCTAAGAAAGGTGACTCCTTGAACCCAAATCAACATGAGTAGTAGTAATGGCAGTACTAGTACTAGTAATCTGAGGTGAACTTCTTTTGTTTTTGTTTGAGCCCTGCCCCATTTGCTAACAGAGAGGGTGGGCTTTATGACCTGTACTGCAGCCTCACACCAGGGGGCAGTAGATACTTTTTGAGGAGCTGTCAGGTCGTCCAGGTTTTCTGTAGTCATTTGTTAGTAACTTGTGGATTTCAGAAAGTAGTCTTTTTGCTTGAAAATTCCTATGACTTTGAAAAGGAGTGCTATTAAAATGAAGCCACACGCTGTCACATGTCATCTTTGTCTTGAACGCTTCGTGCTGTAATTGTCTGTTTCTTGTCTGTTCTCACCTTCCTTGCAGATGCAAGGCATCATAAAGGTAGACAGTGATTCGGAGCAGAAGTTTATGGAGGGTACGTTGGGAGAGGTGCCCAGCCCGGCACCAACAGAGCCACAGACACCCATGGACGCTGACAAGGCATCCATATATCGGTAGGAGTGTATGTTTGTTTAAATAGAAATAGAAAATCAGACATTCTCAACAGTAACAGTATATGCAAGCTGTTTAATTAAAATTAAATCAAACTATATATGAACAAAAGTTTGCACATGCATATTTCCTCTGGAGAAGGAAGCTTCTCCACCACTGCTCTCTCTCACACCTCTTTTTCTCTTCATCCTCACCTCCAAACTGACTTCCTGAACTGAAGTCAAATCTTTAATACATGAAAACGTGCATAGACATGATTATTTATTCCAAATGTTGTCCTAATTACATATCGTCAGCAGATTAGACTTGTAACCCTGCTGCCCCCTGATCGCTTACAATGAGCATCATGTTAGCTTATAACCATTGTTGTTTAGGCAGCAACAGTTGGTTATAAGCTAACATTATGTCAGCTGATGTTAGGCTAGTGTCCTAAAAGGGTCCAGACAAAGAGTTTGGTTACATCCTCACATCAAATGAGAGTTTATTTTCCAAGTGTTAGAGTCCAACAACGTGAGCTCCACTTCGAAGAAAGTTTCACCAAGTTCAGGATATCCTCCACACCTCACCTGAGGAGGGAAGCAGGTTGAACGGTTGAAAGAGTTTAGGACTGTGTGTGTATGTATTTGTGTGTGTAAATATACATATATTAAATGTCTGATGTCAAGACAGAGTTCTGATTCATTTAGGTCTCATGTCCTGCTGCTAATACTTTTTTTGTTTTTCCCCGTCCTTGTGGATTTTCCAAGTTCTTACTGATGAAGCTTGAAGTGATCCTTTTTCTGTGTGTGTGTGTGTGTGTGTGTGTGTGTGTGTGTGTGTGTGTGTGTGTGTGTGTGTGTGTGTGTGTGTGTGTGTGTGTGTGTGTGTGTGTGTCTGTCTTTCGTAGGCATCCTCTGTTCCCTCTGTTGGCCCTGCTGTTTGAGAAGTGTGAGCAGTCCACGCTGAGCTCTGATTGCATCACCTCAGCGAGCTTTGATGTGGACATTGAGAATTTTGTCCGTAATCAAGAGAAGGAGGGGAAGCCTTTCTTCAGTGAAGACCCTGAACTTGACAACTTGGTGAGACATTGTTGCTTCAGAAAGCTAAACCTTATTTCACAGCATTTATGTTTGTACATGCAGAGGGCTGTGTAACCTATCCGAACACGCTTGCATATTGTCTTCCAAACAACCAACAACTTGGAGCTCAGCAGGGATGTCGATACACCGATTGGTTGAAAAGAAAGGGAGTGACAGAAGGTCAACACAAACCACAAAAACTAAACTATAATAAAAGATAATCAAGAACAGCATGAAAGGCTTTAGTGGACACTTTTCATTGTTTTCACTTCAGCTCTTTGTTTGTTGATTTCACTTCTCTCTGAAGGGCCAGCAACAGTAGAAGCCCACAGACTTTTGTGACAGTAAACGGCTACAGGGGCCAGAATCGGCCTGTTAAAGACAGCCCACGGGATGGCTTTGGAAATGTGAAGGAGGGCATAAATTTGAGACTTTTTTAGGTGTATTTTCCTTCTGAGAAAGACCTTGTGCTACAACAAATAAGTAGTAATTAAATCTTCACAGGGTGGCATCGTGCTGTATTGTAATTCTGTGCTGTGATCGGAAGCGACTGTCATAACTGGACCTGACCTTTGACCTCCCTGTAATACCCTCAGGTAAACATTTGTTAAACAGAAAGATGTTGAGCCTAAGAACTCTTTCCATTCCTTCTATCTGAAGATGGTGAAAGCCATCCAGGTGCTGCGGATCCACCTGCTGGAGCTGGAGAAGGTGAGCGACCTGTGCAAGGACTTTTGCAGTCGCTACATCGCCTGCCTCAAGACTAAGATGAACAGTGAGACTCTGCTGAGTGGTGACCCGGGAAGCCCATACTCGCCTGTACAAGGCCAGGCCCAGAGCTTCTCACCCACCAAGTCTCAGGTATGCAGTGTAGGTGAACTGCAGGCGTCACCACCAAATGCCTCAGGTGAAGACTTAGCTACCACTGATCAGTGCCCCTGCTGGGGTATATTAGCCAGCTAAATGGGAATACTTTAAAAATGGCGTTATAAGAGTTAGCAGCATGGAAGACATACATGCGCCTACTTTATGTATGCATGCTCTATTACACAGACCCCCAGCTCCATATCAGGGACCATTAGTCCCCAGGGTCAAATTGTAGTTCCAGCATCGGCCCTGCAGCAAGGAAACGTTACTGTGACAACTGTCAACCCCACCCAGGTGGTCGCAGGTATGTCATCTTGGCGTACGACCCCTTCCTCAGGTACTGCACTAATGACTGTAGCCCAGATATTCACATGTACCAACAGGACTCTGATTGAGTCTTCTGCACTCAGCTGAGCAGGTTAGAAAATTGTGTGTTTGTATTTCAGGCGGGACTGTGTACCAGCCAGTCACAGTTGTAACTCCTCAGGGCCAGGTGGTAACACAGGCTCTTTCTCCCGGGACAATACGCGTCCAGAACAATCAGGTAATACATCTGTCTATGTTGCTGCCGTGCTATTAAGTGGAATCCCTGTCATTGAATTTTACTGCTCCCACTTGTGGTTCCTAGAGTATTTAAAAGTAGAATGAGAGGCAGAGTAAAAGTTAATTGAACTAAATGAAGACAAGCTTAGAGGTGTTGGAGGGCTTCATGTTGTAACTTTGTTCTATAACAATGTAACAACAACCTTTGCTGCGTATTGACTATGGCAGATAATGTGTTGTCTGCTCCTAATATCAAATGGTGTAGCTTTTTAAGATCGGTGCTCTGTCATTAAGGGCAAATAATTCAAAATTAGAGCTGAGGTCCTTGGTTAAATGATGTGGAACAGTATTGTAATTTAACATAACCTTTCATTCTGTTGAGATAATTAAAAGATGGCTAAACAAACATCTGTGTACTCAGCTTCAGCTGCAGTTTCACCAGGATTTGAACCTCTTTAGTCATGAGGACAACTCAACCAAGAACAAGCGCGGCGTTCTTCCAAAGCATGCCACAAATGTCATGCGCTCATGGCTCTTCCAGCACATCGGGGTGAGTCTCTGTGCATAAATCATCTGCCTGTATAGAACTCAAGTCCTTACAAAATAGTGATGCATTTCAACCCTGTTCTGTTGTGCAGCATCCGTATCCCACAGAGGATGAAAAGAAGCAGATTGCTACTCAAACAAACCTGACACTTCTGCAGGTCAACAACTGGTGAGTTGCTCTTTACCCAAGAAAATACTAACTACATCACTATTTACAGTCATGTTTGTGATGGCAGGCAATTTTCCACTAATTGTTGTAGTATAATTGGTCAGCCAGGTAATTGTGCAGGGCTTCCTGCGATCAGCTGAGGGTTTCTTCTTTGCTCATCTCGTTTCACTTTTCACTGATGAAACTCTGACTTGTTCCCATAGTTTGCCATTTGACCTCTCTGCTTTTTTGCCTAATGAAAACAAAACAAAAAAGATGACATTTAATTTTGCCCTAAGTTAATAACTGCAACTTCTTTAAGTAAAGGTGGGAAGTGTCACCTTTTTAGCTAAGTTTAAGGAGGTTACAGTGTATTTAATATGTACAGGACATCAGACAGTTCCTATTCTTTGTGTCCTTTGAGTCAGGGTGTGTAAAATCCAGCTAACCATACAGCTGTCCATACCTGACAAGTGAGCCTAATCAGCACCTGTTAGCATTTGAAGTGCAAAGGTCTGTACAGCCAGCATCACCCTGTGTCTGCAGGTTTATAAATGCACGGAGACGGATCCTGCAGCCCATGTTGGATGCCAGCTCTTCAGAGACACCCAAAGCCAAGAAAAAGACACCTCAAAACCGGCCACTGCAGCGCTTCTGGCCTGATTCCATCGCAGCAGGAGGAGGGGCCATGCCTGATGGTAGGCAGCACAACACCGTATCGAGATGCTTTCGTTGTTGTACTTGGCCCATATATTAGAGTTAATGCAGAGAAACAAACACTAGTCAATGTAGTGATACCAGCAGACTTCCTGTCCGCTGCTGCTGCTGCTGCTTAACAAACTGTTGTTCTAGTTTGGCAACAAATGTCATCACTGTATCACAAATGTTGCTGCTTTTAACAAATTGCTGACAATGTCACTAGGACTGCAACATTTCACAACTTGATTGTTTAAAAATCCTCGACACAAATGGTTTGATTCAATGCTTTAATGTACAGCTCTGTAGCACTCAGGTGTCACTATTAAGTAGCTTAATGTGGAAAGCACAGAGGAGTTGGTACTGTTACAGAGACGGTGCACTCAGGTAGAGAAAAAAAGATTTTTCCAGCATCCAAAACAACAGTGCTGTCGCTATGACAGGAAGTTTTACTAGGAAAAAGCTGGCAGGAGTTCTTGAACAAACCACCTGATCAACAAGCTCCAGCATGAAGAACAGCGAACTTTGTAAGCTGCTCTGGCCACCCCCGTTTGTTTTACACAGAAAAAAAATCTGGACTACAGACATTAAACAGATGAACTAAAGACTCACTGCTGCTCTAATTTGGTGGTCCAACTTAAAACCAAGGTCAGTAACAACAGGTTTAAAATAGATTTCCAGAGGTCCCAAATCTACAGAGGACGACTTGCAGGGACCACTAGGTCCAAACACCAACAACTCTGTTTTATTTTCATTAAAATTTAAAAAGTTTAGAGCCAACCAAGCTTTAATGTCATCTAGACATGTCAAGAGAGGTTTTATGGAGATGCCACCTTTCTGCTTCAGTGGCAAATAAATTTGGCAGTCATCGGCATAACAATGAACTGCGATCCCATGCCTTCTAAGGGTGGAACCCAGAGGCAATAGATACAATAAAAAGAGCAGAGGCCCTAAGATTGAACCCTGTGTCCCACAGGCCGCATGACAGAGGAGCAGAAGATGATTCGGAACCGAGAACGCTGACAGAGAAAGTTTCTCTAAAACCTTGGAGACTAAAGGCAGCTTGGAAATAGGCCTATAGTTCACTTAAACTGTGTGATCAAGGCCAGGTTTCTTAAGCAGTGGCTGCACTACTGCATGCTTGAAATTTGCAGGAACCACACCAGAAGGCAGACTGCTATTAATAATTTCAAAGACATACTGTCATATACTAGGAAAAATTTCTTTAAAAAATTGTGGAGGAAAAGGATCCCGAGGGGAACCTGTGGGCTTAATATGGCGAACCACAGCCTCTAAAGTGGAGAGCGTCACAAGCTCAAACTGAGTGAAAACAGCAGTGCGAGGGACAGAGACAGAGGGTCAGAGTCAGGAGCTGTGATAAGAACCCTGGTGGTGACAACCTTTACAATAAAAAAGTTAAAAAATCATTGCAAATATCAGGAGAAACTTCCAAACAGACATTCAATGGAGTATTTAGAACAGTGTCAATGGTCCTAAATAACACACGTGGGTTATGACTGTTGTAGCAGGAACAAACTTGGCAATGACAGACGAGCAGCCACACACACCAGCGCCATCTTGTCAATCCCAACTTAGTCTGATACAGTTTGAGTTTAAACAAAGATGCTGAAGGCTCACAGCAGCTCTTCTACTTCATATAGTGAGATGAAAGAGGACATGAGGTGTAACAGACCATATTTATTTCAAGGCTGCAAGGCAGATTGAAACAAATACAGTTTTAATTCAACAAAAACAAAACTGTAAGATCATATGTGTGTTTTACATGATACAGCAGAATAAAAGCACACAAAGCAAACGTTTGTCATTTCCTGGAAAACAACGAGACATGTTCGTGACTCGTGTCGGGAGTTTCCAGCCACAGCTTTTCCCTTCTGACTTTTTTGGTAATAAGCTTTTAAAAAAACTGTCTCAATATTTTAGGTACAATGGTGACGATGAACATGGAGGGTCTGCAGAGCCTGACATCAGACGGTGCCACGCTGGCAGTACAGCAGGTGATGCTGGGAGGCCACAGTGAAGACGAGTCGGGGGACAGCGGAGATGAGGACAATGACGCGGACATGGCGGGGCTGGGCCTGGACAATAGCAACTCATTGCAGTAGAGGACAAGCACCGCCCACACGCAGAGGACACACAAAATGAGTTCGACAGAACAGAGGTGCGTCCGTTTGATTTCCACAGAGCACAGGACACACTGGGATGGACCCTGCACTCTTCCAAGCCTCCACCCTGCTGAACGGCGGTTGTTGCTGCACGTGTATGTCAGGAGTGTCATTTCACAAACAGTTTTTTATTGTATAAATGATGTAGGTGAGTGCACTTTTTGTATATTTAAGCTCAAAAAGATGAAATCAAACTGAAAAAAACAAGTGTTAAAAACACCTGAGACAAGTTTGTATACTCCGTTAATAAACGTTGACTTTTTTTGTCCCCGCCCCCGTCCCCCCCTGCTCCCAGCTAGATTGTCATTTTGGATGAGACCACTTCTGTCTTGTTCTTGTGTCTCTGGTTTGTCTTGACTTTTGCATGCTTGTGTTTTAAGTAGACGTGTGTGCTCTTATGACTGACTCCATGGCTCACACTGCCCCCTGCAGGCAGAGTAGAGCACAGGTGGAGAGATTAAAAGTAAATTAGAGGAGAGATGCTTATTTTTCTATACAAACATATGAAATGAGTGTTTTTTTTGTTTGTTTGTTTTTTGGTTTCATTTTTGTGTTCTCCTGTTTTGTAAGAAATATTTATGTACAGATTCATAATAAATGCTGTGACCCTGTTTTCCAGGGTTCTTTTGAAGTTTTCTAAAAAACAGAAAAAGGAATTGAATGCTGATGAAAATTACTATTTAAATTGGTTTTAAGCTTAAAATATTAACAAGGCCTTATCTGTGTTCTTTTCTAAAATAAATCTTACCAAGAAGCACAAAAAGGAAGTATGACCCTTGGAGAAATTGGCCAAAAAGACACTAAACAGTGGAACACTTGTGGCTCCTTAAAGCATATTTTTACTTTGTGTACTGCAGTATCACAGGAACCCTCTCCAGCAGCAAAGCAACTGCAGCGTTCCAGTCTTTGTTTGGCCCACAATGTGTATACCATACATTGTCTTTTAACCATTTTACAGTAGTAGCATAGGTGTCACTTTCTAAAATGCACAATCCAGAACACTATGCTAACCACACAATCAGGAGGGGTTACGGACTCCATCAATAAGAAGCAGTGGACTTTTTGCACGCATTTAGCTTTTATTTTATGTACACGCTACATACATGCTGTTGCATTGAAAACAGAGCAGCTGGAAACTTGGAGTCATTGCCCTCCTGAAGGAATGATCCCCAAGGGCTGCAGCTGCGACCATGACCCCCCGCCCCACTACACACACACACACACACACACACACACACACACACACACACACACACACACAGTGAAGGATCTGAAAGCTCCATCAGTTTGACATTACTGCACATAATGGGGTGCCTCTTGTTTAAATAACTGTAATGCTGTACTGTAAAACAGTTGTTTGTAAGTAGTTGCAGTAACTTGCTTTTTATCCTTCTTGTAAAGTTAACTTTGTTCATTTGATTCAGCCTGAGGGTTTAATGGCTACGCGTTGCCCTCGCTGAACTCTGTCACCTCTGTCTAGCTTTTTATGAAGCATTCACTTTTCTCTTGTACTTCTCGCTCGTCTGTTTTGCCTTAGAGCTTTCTATTTTGGAATAAATGATGCCTAACTCTGCTGTCCACTGTCTCTTTACTCTTTTTCCGTCATGTTCTCCACCAGACAGGACTGCTTCAAAGTCTCTGTGATAATGTGTACAGTTTGTCTCTACAGGTACTTGTTGCCAAATGTGGAGACATGTGGATAGTCCGGTGAGAAGTCACTGTGGGGGGATTCAGTTTCCTGTTTTCAGAGCCTCTTCTTTCTGAAATGTACAGAGACGCTTATTAATACATAAAATGCACTCGATATGTTTTAAAACATGCAGTTTTATCTTTACTCCAGGCTGCAGTGCTCAATTTGAAATCCTTGTGGCTTTGCACAAATGTTAACCATGTTCCTAAACACCAAGGATCACAGACCTTAATGGCTGTTGCTCTGAGGTCTGTACTCGTGAAGACATTTGAGCGTCTGGTACTATATCATCTCAGATCTATCACTGACCCTCATGTGGACCTCCTTTTCACTTACAGAGCCAGCAGGTCAGTAGGTGATGCTGTTAACATGGGACTGCACTGGAACCTATGCAAGTGACATTTCTTAGTACTGCTTTGAATACAATCATCCCGCCTCTGCTGCAGGACAAGCTCCCCAGCTGATTCTTCCTGCTCCCACCTGCACTTCCTGTCTGACAGCAGGCAGCATACGAGACTGGGCAGGCACGTCTCAGACTTCCAGTGCATCAGGGCTGTGTACTTTCTCCTCTGCTATTCTGCCTGTACACAGGGTTCGTACGGGTGCTTGAAATCCTTGAAAATGCTTGAATTTTAATGTTGTCTTTTCAAGGTGGAAGTATAGCTGTATTTCATTCACCACAAATAACTATCTGATTGAATAGTTTTCTTATCAGATAGAGAAATAAAATGAGTCGCAAAATGTGAAAGCAAAATTTCCCCGCCTGGCTGCCTTGCGTCTGTTTCACCGTGTGACCCCGCCCCTCCCTCGGACAGTCGGGGATGAGTGCGCTAACATACCTGTAGGCCGCTGTTTTAATGAGTGTTTGATGGAAAACAACAATGGTGGAGTTTGCGCTCTCCAGTCGCATGATAGGTGAGTCCTAGTAAATAATTTTCCAGTACGTGTACGTTACACATGCTATTTTTTAAAATTATGATTATTATTACTATTAATACAACAGTGGCGTTTACTCCGGGAAGAAACGGTAAAAACGGCGTTTTCTAAGGAGAGCGCTAGCAGACACGCTTTGCTTGTGAGTGAAAAAAGAAAAGGAAAATACACACTACTTCCCTATTGGTGGAAAAATATACCACGTCGACCAATCAAAAAATGATATGGCAACATGTGGCATCTGGTTGTTTGGGAAGAGGGGGAAGTTTTAGGAGTGACCGGCAAGAGAGAGTTTTGATACATGAGACATTTGTGACGTTTACCGTGTTTGGAGTCTCAAGTTAGTGTGTTGTCTTGTGTAGTTAGTGTGTAGTGTAGTCGTTGTTTTGTTTTGTGTGTCAGTTCTACAAGTGATTGTCACAGTTGCTGCAAAAAAGGCAGATTGCAGTGTAAACGCTGAGTGACACACCTGCTGTCAGACCCGCAGGTTTATCCCTGAGCTGTTCTCATCTGTGTTATAGTGACACAAACTATTTTTTGGAGTTGCATAAATAATTTGTGTGCCTTCTTCTTTGATGCAGAACAGCTGATTGTTCTGTAAATAGTTTTAAAGGGTTATAGAAAAAACGTCTGAGCCTTGGCTGCATTTTTAGGTAAATACTTTGTTTGCAAAACTTGTGCATATTTTTTAAAAATGTACAATTTCTATTTGCATTTCAAGTTATGAAAATGATTCATTAAACATGCTTCTGGTTTTTACAGTCAAAAATATCACTTTCTACTCTTATTTTAAATTTTGTCTGAATTTAGATAAATTGTGCTGATACAGTTTGTCAAAATGAGTAAACAACAGATTGGCAAGATAAACAGTTTTTAAAGGTGAAATATAGAGGCCAAATCAAAAGTAGTCATAAACGGCCAATTGTACCCTGGACCCCAGAGGGTTAGAGGCTAAAAGCAAAGTTGTCACCAAGTACTGTTTATATTTGTGTGTATTGCTGCAGCTTTTTTGAGTATTAACTTGGTGCCTTTGGGTGAAATAACGGTAATATGAGTGATCCATATGGTCACAAAGAATAGCCTCTTGTTTCTGTGCCACCAAAGTTCCCCGGCTTTCATTCAAAATGTGTTTATCGTCAGCACCGACACATTAAACTACTTAAACATTATAAATGTCTTCAAGCTCACACTGAGGCCTGTGGGGCACAATCAGCCACTGAGACAGTTCACACATTTATATGTGTATTTGTATATGAATATTTCATACTTTAAGGCTGCCTGTTTAAGGCAGATGAACAAAATACACTGGATTTGTACAAAATAATATCACAGATGATAAATTAAATAGATTTTAAGTGGATGCTTGTGCATCCTTAAAGTCTTATATGTTGAATTGAACTATGTGATCTGTTCAAAGCCTCCCAGTCAGTGCTGTTCTCCATGCCTGTCTGACTGTACATGATGTTATTAGCACAAACACTTTAAAGGTGACGTTTAGGACTTCAGCAATAATACAGACAGCAATGTAGTTAGCAGTAAAACAGTTAGTTTTATTGGGAATTACCTTAAAAAACAAACAAACATCTGTCTCCTATTTTTTTGTCGCACAGGAAAGAAGCATCAATATCTGATGAGAAGACTTATTTATTCTTTTTTGGGGGGGTCAACAGGAGATGAATATCTCTAACAAGTTGATTTGTTCACATTTTCACATCTTAATTTTTAAGTGAAATGTGCATTTTGAGTTTATACACGATGTATATAAGGCGACCGTTTCCATTTGCAGTATTTTTATATGGTGCGTTTTTCTATGTCTTAACAAAAGGGGAACAAAGGTGTTTAAGTTCACCTTGGATGATTTGTCTTAATTTTCACATGGTCTCACTGAGGTGATGCGAATTGAAACATGCATTCTTTTTTTTTGGCGGGGAGGGGGGGGAATGTGCTGCAAAAGTTTGAAAAGGGACCTTGAAAGTGCTTGAATTTGACCCTGAAAAAGGCGTATGAACCCTGTGTAAGACAGTGAAGTCCTTACACTTACACTTTAATTGGCTGCAATCTGCCTTCCCTACAAGACCTATTTAGGGATTTATCTACCTTTAAAAGCAGGGTCAGACCATCCGCAGCTCTTATTACGCTGCCTTGACGATGTCAAAAAGTGGTTGTCATTAAATTTTTTAAAGCTAAATGAAAATAAAACTGAGGTTGTCATTTTTGGAAACTTAATCATATCGACAGCACTCTGGGCCTCCTTTCCTTCTATTGTAAAACACATGTAAAAAACCTCGGTGTCTATATTGATGGTTCTTTTAAATTGAATAAGCAGGTGAGTGCAGTAGTTCAGTCCTGCTTCTTTCAGTTAACGCAGCTAGCCAAGGTAAAGCCATACCTCCCGGCTAACATCTTTGAGCGTGTTATTCACCTTTTCCTTACTTGCAGATTAGACTACTGCAATTCATTGTATTATGGTCTAGATCAGGCCACCATCCATCGTCTTCAGATGGTTCAAAATGCAGCTGCTCGCCTGCTAACTGGTACCAAACGGAGAGAGCATATAACCCCAGTTTTAGCTTCTTTACACTGGCTTCCTGTCTCCTACAGGATCCAATTTAAACTTTTACTTTTTGTTTTTAAGTCACTTAACGCCCGAGCCCCTCCTTACCTGTCTGAGCTCCTCTGTGCTTATGCTCCAGGAAAAACCATGAGGTCTAGCTCAGAATTAATGTTGTCCATCCCACAGACTAATCTCAAATCTCGTGGTGATAGATCCTTCTCTGTGGCAGGTCCCAGACTTTGGAATAGTCTCCCCTTAAATATTAGATCTGCACAAACACTTGAGCAATTTAAATCATTAATAAAGACACATTTTTATGCCCTGGCTTTTAACACACTATGACCCAAGCATTTTGATCTTATTTGAAATAGTTTTAGTTATTGTTTTAATTCTTTTATAGTCCTATTATTCTTTTATATTGTTATTGTATTACATTGCTGCTTTTTAATGCTACTTTTATATTGTTAAGCACTCTGTGCAGCATCGGCTTTTTGAAATGTGCTCTATAAATAAATTTGACCTTGACCTTGACCTGCACACCTCCAGGACACTGAAACGGGCGAAGAAGATTGCTGCCACTTTGCATATCATGCCGTACCTTATATATACCTTGCATACATATTTCTTCATTTCTAATTTGTGATCTATATCTGTAGGTAGTTAGTATATATTCTCTTTGTGTGTATTTCTTTTTCATATTTGTAATATTTACATAGAAATGTACCATATATTCTATCTCTGTACCACAACAAACAGTGGTACAGAGATAGAATATAACAACGACAAATTCCTTGCTTGTGTTCAAACTTCGCAATAATAGTGATTCAGTTTCTAAATATAGCGTTGTGGTGGAATTAAGGCACGACGGGACCACAGATCCATGTTTTCTTTATTTAACATTTGCATCACACCACCACAACCACCACCAACCCCTGAGTCCCCGTGTTTTAACACGGCGGGCGTGATTGCGGATGCCGTGCAGGTGCGTCCGCACGGCACCGCAGACCACGCCCCACCACAAGCGTCTTAAACATTAACATGAGAAGTAATTGCATCTTTGTATATGCATGTTGCAAACTTTGAATAAGTTATGTGGATGATGACATCTGATGCATACATTTTTGCATTTTCATTGCATAATAAAACGCTTTGTGTATCTGTTCACAAGCTAATCAAAACGCACGGACTAAACCCGCTATGTGTGTAAAGACATTTAAACCAGTTGCGCGTAGATGAGCCTCAAGAATGCTGCATGTGCATTAATAGTAATATTACATTCATAATCAGTCTGAATCCATTTTTAGACATTGTCTGCTGGATGTGACAGACAGGATTAGTACTTGACTCAAGTCAAGATTTGCTACATCGGGACCTTAAATATGGACACTGACCTCCATCTGTTTGTGGATCCAGCTGAGAGCGAGTGTGATGCGGGTGTAAACGCCCGGCTTGTTTATGTGAGCACAGCCAATGCCCCAACTGGTTGCTCCCACTAGCTTCCACACAGACGAGTCCTCACAGGCAAGCGGACCGCCGCTGTCCCCCTGGAAACACCAGATAGGTGAAAACATACATACGCCCCTTTTCCATTATTACCTAATCATGTCGACTTGCCACGGATTGTGTCATGTATTTAATATATAATCTTAGTGCTTATTGTCTGATTATATTGTTTTATGTATGCCAGACCCAGATGAGAACTATGTTAAGGGTGACAGGTTGCCCTGGCAACAGACTTTAGAAAGAGGAAGTGCAAAGCTGCACCGGAAATTTGACACAAAGAAAAGAGGAACTATATAATGTTTGTATCGAAACTGGGTGTGACGTGCTGCAAAATATAGCAAGACGGGGTGCTGATGCCTCAGACTTGGGCTGGCGTGTTTGTGTGTCTGCTCAGTCTCCATTTTCCGGAAAATGTAAAATTAAAGATCATTTTTTGAGTTAGACCACTTTGAGCCGTGTCTTTCTTTGCCGTTAGAGAATACAAAGAACGGAATTTAATAATAGACTCGACTCGACTCGGATCGACTGGTTTGCCATTACAACCCTTGTACCTTGTTTGCGTGCTTGTGGTCATAGCAACGCGTACAGTAGTTTAAATCTGTGCTCTGTCATTCTCCCTTTCAGACTCTCATCTGTGCAATCCACCTCCTCCCCATAAAACTAATATATCTCATTTTAGTGCAAAAGGAAACTAGCTCTACCTGACAGGAGTCAATTCCACCTTCCAGGTATCCTGCACAGATCATCCAGGAGGAGATTAAGCCCTTGTAAACCTCTGGTTTGTTGCAGTTCTGGTTGGAGATAAGTGGTACCACAGCTGAGCGCAGAACAACACTAGTGTCTCCTGTTAAAAAGAAGAATTTCAACCATATAAATGTGGCCCCATCCCCACAAAAACACCCTAAACAACACCTAACTAAACAGAATACAAAATGAGCTTTAGATGTCTACACTCACCATCTTCCTCTGTTGCACCCCAACCAGAGATCCAGCACAAGGTGCCCTCCTTAAACTCCTCTCCATGGCTGGGCAGGCAGATGGGCTGCACAGAGCCTGCAGGGAAAAGTGTTACTGATACATGTCAGACTTATTCATACAATCTGATCTATGGGACTCCAAGGTCAGGAAGAAAATATCCTAGGAGAGAAAGTAAAGCAGAAGGGAGGGAAGAGAGTGAAAGATCCCTAAACAGGACTGAAAGGAAGATTATCTGATAGCTGTCACGTATTTTAAGTTTGCCAGACACGGAACGATCTTTGATGCAGTGCACTATGCAGTTTATAGGTCTAAAAGTACAATACGGGAAAAAAATAAGGCCGTCAATAATTTAGATTTACCAGTGAACAGAGAACGTACACCAACTCATGGGGCAACTGGTGTTCAGTGTGCAATCACTGTTGGGAACCCATTTGAAGTGGGATGTGTTCTGATATGTGCTTTTCTATGTAGTAAAATCTATACTAATAAGGATGCATTTACTGTTGTATGTAGTGAAATGTATTTGCATAGCCATGCTCATTGTTCGCTTGCAGTATGTGCCGAAGACATTCTAACAAAGATGCACTTACAGGAATATGAAGTAAACTACAAAGAATGTGAATAACAAAAGTAGTAAATCTGCCTGGTCTGGGGATTGAACTGCATCCTGTGAGTCTGCCAATGAAGACACCTGGATCACTCTAGCTTTGGCTATAAATAATGAGTGTTAGGGAGTGTTGTCAAGGAAAAAAGTTGTAGCGAATGAGAGGTTGAAGGATACTAATACCATTAACTTCAAGTTGCTTGGCCAGTTTCATCAGTGCGATGTCATAGTCGAGTCCTTTTTGTCGGTAACGATTATGGTATACGATTTTCTCAACAGCCAAAGCCTGGGCCCCGTGAAGCGGCTGCTCTGTCAGTCCCACATAGACCGCCCACATGGAGGAGTTTACAAACCTGAGCACAAACAGCAAGAAAAGATCCGGGGGGTGGGGGGGGGACAAAACGGAAAAAAGACATGAGCACACAACAAATAGGGTAGGCTCAGTCTGTCCCAGTCGTTCCATCAGCCTCAGTGTGATCTTATAAGTGCGGCAAAGTGTGAACAATAACAGATGATAACTGAGAAAAGCTTACGTCAATCTAAAATGTTCCTGATGTTTGCATTTAATAAATAAACATACTGAACGTGACCTCAGCCGTTGTTGGCCAGCAGCGTGGTACATTGACTTGTTCTTATAGAGCCTTTCTGCTCTATCTGTACACTCAAAGCATTTTAGACAACATCAGTCATACTCTGATGGCTTCATCAGAGAGCAACTTTGGAAATGATCAGTAGCTTGCCCACAAGTTTTTGGCAAGCAGGCTGGAACAGTCACCAAAATAGCAACCCTCTGATTAGCAGATGAGCTGCTCTACCTCCTGAGCTACAGCCACTCAGCGTGGAAATTATGTTACTGAAAACAGAGTAGAAGGAGAGGAGGAAAACCTGTTTGAGATAGAGAAAGAAAAGGAAACATTGGAGAAAGGAGGAAAGAATCAGGGCTATGACTGGTAAATAGAGCGAGCTGGCTGATATGGGAGGCAGAGCCTTCAGTTTTCAGGCGCCTCTTCCGTGGGACCAGCTTCCAGTTTGGATTCAGGAGACAGACACTATCTCTACTTTTAAGATTAGGCTTCAAACTTTCCTTTTTGCTAAAGCATATAGTTAGGGCTGGACCAGGTGACCCTGAATCCTCTGGAAAAGGAAAAAGTTTTTCCTTTCCAGTCACCTTTCTCACTCACTATGTATTAACAGACCTCTCTGCATTCAATCATATCTGTTATTAACCTCTGTCTCTCTTCCACAGCATGTCTTTATCCTGTCTTCCTTCTCTCACCCCAACCAATCACAGCAGATGGCCCCGCCCCTCCCTGAGCCTGGTTCTGCCGGAGGTTTCTTCCTGTTAAAAGGGAGTTTTTCCTTCCCACTGTCGCCAAAGTGCTTCCTCATATGATTGTTGGGTTTTTCTCTGTATGCATTATTGTACGATCTACTGTACAATGTATGGCGCTTTGAGGTGACTGTTGTGATTTGGTGCTGTATAAATAAAATTGAATTGAAATTGAATATTGTTGTTTTGGAATGCCAGGAGACATCTTTTTCCAATGTCTACTGAACATCTAGTGTTGTTGTCTGTACGACCTCCATGTATGGGCCAAAATGTGGTTGTTGTGGACGTCTTTTCACTGTCAAACTTCAACTCATTACAGACATGTTTTTATACTGCTTTGATAGGCTCTGTAGTCTCATGTTTCGAGAGGGTGGAGGGCATGTTTTATGTACCGAAACAGTTATGTGTGAAGGAATGCAGAGTGATTAGCGGACAACTCCAAGATGCTAAAACAAAAGTGAGCAGCTGCACTGTGGATTTCGAGCTTCTCACAGGCGGTTTGCAAAATGTGTGCATGGACACGGACTATCAAGCAGTCTGGTTCATACAAATACAAATCTTCTTGTAATTTCCGTTGCAACTTCTCTCAATCCTGCTACCGATCACAACCACATTCACTTCTTCTTACAAAGCTCTTCACAATAAAACAGGATGCTTGTAAAATTGAACCATGATACAAATGCTCTTTTAAACGTATTAAACACAGTGTACTCCATGTTTTGTGCTCTATATTTCCCCCCTGGTCCAAATCATTAGGCATTACAACAATATTTCCTATCATCTCTATGCTGATGACATTCAGTTACACTGTTCTTTCAAAGTCTGAGTTTTAAATGGTCTTGTTTAAGTAATTGCCCGGCAGATATCAAGCAATGGTTAAACAACAACTTCCTTGCCAGGAAACTTTAGGTTTCACTTTAAAATGTTGGTTTTAACCTTAAGGGCCCTGCATGGTCAAGCTCCCCATTTTATATCTGATCTGCTGAAACCTCATCCCTCTTCCCGAGCGCTGAGGTCATCAGGTCAGAGGCTGCTGTGGATAGTAGTGGTGTGCAGATTGATATTGAAATATCGATTCTTCCGATACCAGTAATTTATGTTCTAGAATCGATTCTCATCGATATTTTAGTACTTTGGGGTAAATTTGTAGTTTATCATTAACAGGAACACAGTGGAAAGAAACTATATCATTCGGATCGTCTAAATCGGAAGGAACTACTTCCTCTTCCGCCTTTCATAGTCATGTGCGAAACACGGCTGTATAAATGTGTTGCAGCCACTGGCGTGCGCACTCACAACAATGGCTGAGTGAAACGGAGTCATGTGTGGACGTATTTTATCTCCACAAACGGCCACGACACGGTTTGCGATACATGTGGCAAGAAAGTGAGATGCTGTGGCAACAGCACTGACCTCGTCAAACACCTCAGAGTAAATCATATCACAGAATAGGATGAAATATGTTGAGGCAAAGTGAAGAGGAGGACAGGGACAGGTGCTGCTAGGGCGAGACAGACGTCTCTCACAGAGTCCTTCAGTGCTGCAGGCAGGCAACGTGTTCAAATAGGCACAACTTCAGTTTTTTATTTCCATATCACAATTCTGCATTATTAAGCTATTATTATTATTATTATTATTACGCGATTACCAGTTTGTGGTTTTCTTTTTTACAGACACAAAGAGTGAGAGAGATCATGTTCTACATTACTTTAAAAGAAGAAGAAGGGATTTTCAGAGCTGTACATATTTGAAGCAGACATCATAGAAACATGGGTCAACCCTGTTTTTGGCATTGAGTGTTAAATTGTGAGAGTTTGAAAAAAACTTGCAAGTTCCTACATTTACACTGTAGAGCAAAGAAAAGTTAGACGATGCGTGTACTATTGAGAATAACTATATACATAAAAACCACGTAAACAGACATGAAAAAGGATGTGTCTGTAAAACTGTCTGTAACCTCTGAGAGCTGTAAGATAGACCGTTTCTGCTATCAAAACAGTTTGTGTTGTTTAATCCTGAACCATTCTTGGTCAGGACACTTACATCATCAGAGAAAGCTCATGTTACTCCACACACAGTTAGGAAATCACAATGTTTGACCATAAAATCCCAGAATCATTCTGGGACAATCATTTCTGCAGCAGCAGAAAAATCTTTTTCCATGCCACTGTGCTTTGAAAACAGAAAATGTTGAAACTTTTTTAAAATGTAAAACATAAAAACAACAAAGACTTAAAATGTTGAAGATGTACTGATGAAATCTGTGAATGTTTAGATTCATTGGTGTTTCTACAGAGCAAACACAGAAGTTGGGTTTTAGAAATACAAGATGGGAACACGAGGCCGGAGAAGTAAATGCATCACAGAAGCTCCCTGCATGTGTTCAAATAAAGTACAAGTGATTTGCAATAAATAAAAAAGAAGCTCCATGAGACTGGTCACATCATCTAAGAAAGACTCGAACAGAACCTCGAATGTTAAAGTTCACTTCCTGTCTGTGTGGTCATTGTATTTTTATCACCTGAGCTAATGTGAATGCTGTAAAAGCACCCTGGCTTAAAAAGAAGCACACATTTGGAGAAATTGTGCTGTAACTTCAAGTTTTCCATCTTTTCTTTGATAAAAGAAAAACAAGTCATAAACTCCTTGGTATGTTGATATCATGTCAGTAATTCACACAGACATGGTGTCATAAAGGCGAGCTTAACAGATAAGGTACGGTCCTCCATACAGCCTGTACTTCAACATAACCCTGACTGCCGTTTGGAAATTTAAATGACATTACAATTATTGTACATTACTCTAAAATCAGTGCTGTGAGAGTGACTTTAAGATCACATCCAGCTTTAAAACTGAATCTAACATCAGCATTCTTGGAAATAGCTCGAAGATATTAAGAGAATATGGCAAATGCAATCACAGGATGGCAAAAAAAAAAGGACTTTAAAATGAGATCTTCTTGTTTCATTGGAACAGAAAAGTACCACAACAAAGAATATGTGCAGCTATGTAAGAACAAGCATCTGCTTTGGAGTTTTTCATGTTTTGCATGCAGACTCAGGGCTGCTGGTCTCCTCTTGGCATTTTCTTATTTAAACGTTAGAACCTCAACACTGCATTGCCTTTTGCCATCAAACATTTCTTTCAGCCATCTGAAACACTGGGTCGTGGGGCAGCTGGTAAGGACTTGTGTGTTTCTGGAGAGTCTGCAAAGCTGTTTTGGTTGAAAAAAACTCTGCACGCTTCACTCGTCAGAAGGCCGTAAATTCGGCTCATTGGTCAGATCAAAACCATCTCCAACTCTCTTAGTGGCCGAAGCGAGAGCCCGCCTCTCTGAAAGGACTTTTCAGGTAGGCCTGGTGGGCGTGTCCTGTCTAGAGGATGGCCACACCTGAAGTAGATGATCACATACACCTGCAGCTAATGAAGCGTCGTTGGGGAGCTTCTTAAGACTGTGGCTGAGTGCTCCTCGGTGTGGGATTGTTGTGTGAGACTCCATGTTAGTGGTGATAAATGTTAAGTCCGGTGAGTGCATGCCTGCGGTAGTTGAGTGTCCTGACAAGTTGCCTCTTTGTTATTTTCTCCAGCAAGGAGCAGGGAAGACAAGAGCAGCGAGCACAGGGTGCGAGGGCACACAGGAGAGGAAGAGCACGGACTTGTGGGTGAAGAGACGACACGGAAGTCAAGGGGAAAACACGGGGATTTATTCTGTGAACTATTACACCACTGTAAATAAACACACTGCCTTCATCATTAAGTCCTGCATCTTGGGTCCTCATTCCTCTCATCCCCACGGTCTGCCACACAGACCGTGACAACCTGAAGTGGTTTGGACATGTGCAGAAGAGGGATAGTGGATACATTAGGCAAAGTTGGAGCTGCCAGGCATTAGGAGAAGAACCCTTGGATACAACAAGGACTTAACAGACATAAGCATAATAGTGTTTTTATGCCCGCTCAACAAACAGGCCTTTGTTGTCAGTATTAAGAAGAACCAGATGTTTGTAGAGAATGTAAAATATCTACATCTGATTGACTCACCCATACACACAATGTGCTGCAGTGATGACCCAGTATGGTGATATGATGGAGCCTCCACACAGGTGTTCATTCCTAAAATGGAGGCTAACTTGCCAGGGGAACTGGCCTTGTTTCGTGATGTTACCTCCAACAATACGTGTCCTGTACTGAGGCCTGAGACTGCAATCTGAGGGCACAGAGAAACAAAGTGTCAAGCAGTTATAGTGTCACCACCAGAAGGTTAGTACTGTCCTATAGTGACAGTGTGTCGGCTGGGAACGAAATTTCTTTTAGAGCTTTAGTTTTTTCTTTTTTTCCTTTCTGTTTTTTTTCTGTTCAAGTTGTGTGTGATTGGCCGACTACAGGACATCAAATAGTCATTGCTATGCACTGAGCAGGAAGGGGAAGGGCGGGGGGAGGGGTTACAGACTCAGCACACACAAAATAAAAAGGGAGGGGGGGGGGGGGGCTGAGACAGAGAAAGAGTATAGCACTACAAAGATAACAAGCTGGAAAGGTGAGGAAATAAGTGATACACTTCAGTTGTTAAAATTGTTACATGGATGCTTTTTTTGAGTTTTACATATTTTAATTTATGTTATGTTGTTTGATCTTCTGTGTTGTTTCACTGTAAATAGTTCAAAGTTTATGCATATTGTACATACAATCAGTGAATGGATCTTTTCGTCCACCTGATTATAAACTGGTTTGGTATTTATTTTTGTACTTGAAAATTAATTTTTTTGCAGCATTGTCGTATGTTGAGGTTAATAAGCCAAATAAATAATAAACATTTGATATAATGTCTCCTGGGCTTATCCATCTCAGGGTCACGGGGATCCTGGAGCCCATCTCAGCTGCCATATGGCAGGAGGAGGGGCTTACCCTGCCCAGGCAGTTGCAGGGCTGACACAGAGAGACAGACAGCCAATCACACTTACATAACCCAGGACTTTCTTCTGTGCTGACCACTGCATCTTGAAATAATGCGTGTTTTGTAAATTAGTAATTTTACAGAGTAACGACAAACTAATGCAACAAGTAGCGTAAAGAATTTGTTTTTCCAGTGAAGAATTAAGGAATGTAATGGATTACTTTTAAGAAAATGTTACTTTTAGTAAATGTAATTAGTAGCAATGAAAGTGATGAGTAATGTGTAATACCTTACATTTGTGGGGTAACGACTTCAATACTGCTGACCAAAAAAAAGCCACTACTACTGCTACTTTGATGAAACCTTGCTCTGTACTAAACAATCTTGAAGGAGAAGGTCTCGCCTTCAGTTTAGGCCCTGAATCTTAAGCCCTTAGGCCTTGATTATGCAGCAGGTATGATCTGAAACATGCAGCAACTCCACTGCTTAAAGCCTAAAAGAAGGGGAAAAGAAGCAGATTTTGGAATGCCTGGCCTGCTGAAAAAACAAATTTCTACCATTTATACCGATTTAAGCATCACATTTAAGCATTTAAACAATGCTTAAATCGCAGCAAAACAGTTAAATTTGGTTTATTAAACATTAGGTCTCTCTCTTCTAGGTCCCTATCAATAAATGATTGGGCAGATATAGAGAGATAAAAGTCAGAAGGATAAACCAGATGTTCTCCATTAAACCATCCAAGATGTTCTTTCAGTGCCAGAGGAACAGTCTGAGAACATCATCACCAGGGCAGGAGGTGCAGCACTACTGGAAGAGCATATGGGAGAAGGATTGCATAACAATAATGCTCAGTGGTTGGTGGATCTAAGAGCAGACCATGGTAATCTCCACCCTGAACATGCTTCAGTCACAGTCACAATGGGAGACATCCAAGAAACAGCATGAAGAGTTGGACAGGACCAGGGCCTGCTCTCCAACTTGCTCAATAAGTTAACTGCACTCAATGAGTGTCTGGCAGCACAAACTAACCAGCTGCTAATGCATTTGATGCACCCAGAATGACCAGCTGCAGGCCAGATAGTCCTGATCCTCAAGAATCTCCAAAAGGGACTGGTCCCATCCAACTACTGGCCAAAAATCTGCCTCAGCACAACACGGATGCTCCTGGCATCATAGCGGCTAACATGAATAGGCACATGGTTCATATTCTAATATCTAGAACTGTACAAGATTAACAGGACCCTAAGAGCCGTCATCAAGAATAAAATGAAGATGGGCGGAAAAACACAAGAGGTTAACTGTTCGGTGTAGGCCTAAACCCCCCCAGCCAGATCATCAGCAAGTCTGGCTACAGATACCGAATTCCGAATGGAGCAAACACCCTCTACATGGATGACATCAATCTTTTCGCCAGGAGTGAACGAGACATCAGTTCACTGATCCACACCACTAAGATCTAACAGAAGTGACATTGAAACTTCATCCGGTCCGGAGAAGTGTAGTCAGATGGTAACAAAGAGTGGGAGAAGATAACATTACAGACACCAAGGACCTCAGAATCCCAAAGGCAAATATGAACCATGAAGAGGCTGCTAGAAAAGCTGTAACCACCAAATACCTGCAGAGTAAGGTAAGTCCTGAGGACTCAGATGAGTGGGAAGAAAAAGATCCGGCCAACACCTGTGCCCTGCTGTTTGTCAGATACCCTGCTGATACAATAATTGGTCAAAGGAGAAGACAGAAGACACTTACATCAGGTCAAGAAAGCTCCTTACCATGCCACGAGGGTTTCACCCCAAGTCCAGCAGAAGCAGAAGAAAGGAGGCCAAGGACTAGTGTGTGTCTAAACCACTCTCCATCAGCAGAAACTCAAGAAAGAAGAGGGGCGAGAAGAGAAACCATTATAGAAGGACGTGCCCTTGTACAACATGTACTGGCAGATAGAAGAAGTAACTAATATTGAGAAATCCTAACAATGGCCGGACAAAGCTGGACTGAAAGACAGGACAGAGGCAATAATCATGGCAGCACAGGAACAAGCTCTAAGCACAAGATTGAAAGGAGCTGGAGTTTACCACACCAGGCAGGGCATACATGGAGCGCCATAACCTAGTGGCTAGAATAGTACACAGTGACATCTGTGTCAAGTATGGCTAGGAAGCCCCTTGGAAGTGAAAATGGGATATGCCCCCCAGGGTGGTTGAGAATGACCAAGCTGAGATCCCGGGAGACTTCCAGATACAGACAGCCAATCTGGCATTGACACTGCATGAAGAGTAGGCTAAGTATCAGGTTATGCTTTATAAGCAGGCAGTATATGAGAAGGGATTTGTACTCTTCTGGATTTGTTTGTACCCTGGAAGCAGCAATGTTTGGGTTTTAGCATGACATGTAGAGGAGGTCAATTGATCCTCTGACTCGTGTGTTGTAAAAATATGGCTAAATAGATTCCTTTATTAAGGCTTTTATCTCATTAATAGTGATGATCAATAGTAGATCATTATGAGACTGAGATTTGACAAGAGGTTTATGGACACGTTTAAAGTATCCAAGCAAATTTAAGTGAAATGGCTGTTTTGATTCATGTACAAGGGAACTTGGTTCAGCTGTTCCTAGTTCTTCTCTGCCAGGTGTCAGAACGAGTTGCAGTAAAATGAGTTGCTTAAATTACTGCTAGAACATGATGCAAGGAAACAAAATGCAGAAAATGAGAAGCAGTTAGCAATGGAGAGAATGTGTTTTGAAAGCTGCGGAGAGATATAGGCTATATTTGATTAAAAGTGGAAAACTGAAATCTTGTTGAGCTGCGGTATTCTTTATTTTACCATTGGACTGAAAAGTATTATATTTTGTGCAACCTGACACTGTTGTCAAAATTTAATGAAAATGATTCAGAAAACTTTTTTCTCCTTGCTCGAACATGTTTCACATCAATGACAGTAGTTCGATACTGCTGACACTAATGCTACAGTTTGCACTGGAAGTTTACTAGAAAGACAAAGTTCAAGGTTCTTTATTCTAAGTTATTATATTGTAAAAGCAGCTTTCTCTACGCTTACAGGGAACGATTTGGGACTTGGAAAAAAAGGAGGACAAACAATCTTGAGTTTATCTGTTCACATCAAACCCTGTAGGCTGGGTTAGGCTTACGGGGTTATAGTCTTGGATCAGTTTAAAATTTGGATTCTTGAGGCTATAGTTGCACATCAACAATTAAAAAGCAAACACTGCTACTGAAGCTGCTGCTCTAGCAGAAGATTATATGGTGGCTCATGAGTGTGTTTTGGGGGATTCTCATAACCCTGGTACTACACTTGAAGCTAGTGCTGATTCTGTTAGTGTTTCTGACCAGTCAGGTGGATCAGAGGTCAACTTGTACAACCTGGACAAAGTCTGTAACTTTTGTCATAAAAAGGGCCACTGGAAGGCTGCTTGCTATGCTCTTAAAGCTAAATCTAGACAAAATAGTTTTTGTCTAGAGTAGTTTGTTTAGACTAGTTTTCAAAGGAGAGTGACACAGGTTCCTCTCTCCTAATTGTAGGGGATATATATATTTGCTCTATATATATATATATTTTATAGCTTTATTTCAAAAGAAGCAATGAAGGATTAAAATCGATTAAATTTAAGTTTTCACCTCACGCCTTTCTACATACAATAAACTCAAAATTCTTGCAAATTTATTGAAAATAAAAAACATAAAATGCACAGGATTGTATTGAGGGATAGATCAGGGAGAGGGTAAAGAAAATGTTCCACAACAAAGAGCACAGCAGCCACCATCATTCATAAATGAAAGAAAGACCATGACTCTTCCTACAGCTGGCCAACCAGCCAATCTGATCAATAAGGGTAGAAGACCATTAGTCATAGAGGTGACCAAGAGCGTTGCTCTGTAGAGAAGGACTGCAGCTCTTCACCACTACTCAACTACTCTTTCAAGGATGTTTGATATGAAAGGAAGGTTGGAGATTGGCCTATAATTAGCTAAGACTGCTGGGTCTAGAGATGCTTTTTGAGTAAAAGTTTAACTACAGCCAGCTTGAAGGCCTGTGGTACATAGCTGATTATTAGAGATAGGTTGATCATATTTAAGATCGAAGCATTAATTAATGGCAGGACTTCTTTGAGCAGTTTTGTAGGAATGGGGTCTAAAAGACACGTTGATGGTTTGGAGGAAGTAATTATTGAAGTTAACTCAGAAAGATCAATTGGAGAAAAAGAGTCTAACTTAACATCAATGGTACTAAGAGTAGCTGTAGATAATATTACATCCGTGGGATGATTACTGGTAATTTTTTCTCTAATGATAAAAATTTTATTTGTGAAGAAGTTCATGAAGTCATTACTAGTTAACGTTAAAGGGATTGTTGGCTCAGCAGAGCTCTGACTGTTTGTCAGCCTGGCTACAGAGCTGAAGAGAAACCTGGGGTTGTTCTTATTTTCTTCAATCAGTGATGAATAGTAAGATGTTCTGGCTTTGCGGAGGGCTTTCTTATAAAGCAGCAAACTATTTCTCCAGGCTAAATGATGATCCTCTAAATTTGTGACACGCCATTTCCTCTCCAGATTACGAGTCATCTGCTTTAGGCTACGTGTTTGAGAATTATACCACGGAGTCAGGTACTTCTGATTAGAGACCTTTGAGCTACAGTATCCAGAGTCGTACGTTGTTAAAACAAGATCTAGAGTGTGATTAAAGTGGTGGGTGGGTTCTTTTACATTTTGACAGAAGCCAATTGAGTCTAATAACAGATTAAATGCCATGTTGAGGCTGTCATTTTTAGCATCTACATGGATGTTAAAATCACCCACAATAATTATTTTATCTGAGCTCAGAACTAAATTAGATATAAAGTCTGAGAAATCAGACAGAAGCTCTGTGTAAGGCCCAGGTGGACGATAGATGATAACAAGTAAGACTGCTTTCTGAGTTTCACAGCTGGGGTGGACAATGTTAAGCATCAGGCTTTCAAATGAATTAAAGTCTGTCTTGGTCTGTGGTTGATTAATAGAGGAAAATAGGTGTGGCAAGCTTGTAGCATCATACTTGAAAAGATGTAAAACTGTAAATCCTGTCCAAGGTGCTTCAACAAAGCATTGAGCAAACACTGTGAATACTTAAATACGCATGTTATATTTTTTCCCTTTTTTTGTCATGATGGGGTATTGTTTGCAGAATTTGGAAGTGAAAAGCTAATTTAATCCATTTTGAAATAAGGCTGTAATATGACAAAACACAGAACAAGCAAAGTGTGTGGAAAACTTTCTTATATAATAAAAACATCAATAAAACAAATGCTGCATGCTTTCTCACCTAGACATTTTAGAGTTGTCACCAGCCCTGAGCTGCACTGTGTCTTACTGTGGTGAAATAGAAACCATAGGTCAAATGACACGGAAGCTCAGCCGAACTGAACACGTACAACAAGTTAAAACACTCTTATACCTTAAAACGAAAGCTTCAAAATACTTTGATGGTGTACTGGACTAAAAGATCTTTTATTAATCTCGTTCCCTCTAAGCTTTAATATGACCTCTTCTACTTCTTCTCTTTAAATGCTCAGCCACTGGACAGCTGTAGATCACGAGGTAATTGGTGGGTTGTAATTTGATGTCCGGCTCCTCTGGTCTGTATAGTAAAGTGTTCTTGATACTAAAGCCAGTGAAGTGTATGTTTGCACACTGTTTTACCCAAAGTATTTGCTTTGGTTGGGTGAGTGAATACTTTGGCAGAATTGATTTCAATAGTGTTCTGTAGCAGTCTGTGGTCATCAGAAGTCTTTGATGTTTTCATGCAGGGTACGTCTATAGAGTTCAGATGTGGCTGATATAGTAACAGTTTGTCTCTTTTGAATTTGTAATGTTTTCATAGTTTCGTGAAAATATTTATAGCGCTCATTGCTGTGTAACAGACCGTTTTTGGAGAGTATTTTGTTTGACTGGTTAATATTGAGGCGCAATTTCTTCTTTTTTTTTTTAAAATTCTGATTGGCTAATTGGATGACAACAGCAGTGTTATCACTTTGGGGCAAATACACACTTTCCATTTACTCAAACAGGACAAAAGGTGTGTACACCTGATAGATGGGGCGTTCTGAAGCTTGATTATCTGTGACTTGTTCCAGTGAAAAGACATCAGGTCAGTCTGAAGGTCCTTCTCAATGTAGGTCAGAGAGATGAAGAAAGACTCTAAATAACTGAAAAACAAAAGGGTCAGGGTTATGTTCATATATCTTCATATATCTATCCTTCATAGTCTGACATCCTGTGAGACTTTCATGTCTTGGATCTGTTACGGCTCACACAGATACATTTCAGGGTTTGACAGTCCTGTTTGTCTTTTCCTCTGAAGGTGATGCACGTTGCAAAATTGTCTCTGTTAAACCAACGGTTACTGTTGTTTCAAAACCATAATTACTCTGTGACCTAAACCATCTATTTCTTACTGTAGTTGGAATGATAAAAGCCCTGTAAACACAGTTGTTTTCAGCTCCAACTAAACTCTAACTGTACTCTCTTATGTGCAGTAAGAGTTTAGTTTCATGACACTTAATGTCTTTTAAACGTGCTATACAATTAAAGCTGACTTGACTCTTACTTTCATTTTTAAATACATTTTTGGTTCAGCAGTCTTTATAATTTATCTTCTGCTGCCAGCATAAACCAAACTAGCCAAATTCATTTTGCAGCATAATAACAAGCCCGAACATCGAAGCACAGTCACAGAGAATCACTGATGTGAACAGAGCAGGGACACAAGGAGGGAGGGTTCAAGGTAACAGCCATTTAACCAAGTAAGCAATCCTTTCCTTCAAGCATTATTTTGAAGTGATGTCAGTTGCAGATGACGTTGGACACAAACTGAATAAGTTTTCTTCATATTTTTGGACATATAGTATCTCTAGTACTATATTATCAGTATCTCAGATGTTACAGTATTCATGGATGTTCCATCTTCCACAAGTTAATAAATAAAATACATCCCAGACAGCTTCCCAGTCTATTGCAGTAACTGTACTGTAATTTAATTGGAGATAGTTTACTCTGGTCAAATGGACCACTGGTCCACCACCTTTGGAGCAGTGGTCCACTTTTTAAAAGTCCATCCAAAACAAGAAAATGTGCTAAACAAAAAAAGGACACGAATAAGAAATGTATCATCTCAGCCTGACAACTAGACACTGCAGAAATGAATGAAACATTGGTGCAACCTGGAGTATCCAAGCTGCTTGCAGGCAGCTCTGCCCAGCCTGTTGTTCCAATCTTCTGAGCAGACTGTCCTCCATTTTCCCTGGATCTGAACCTGCAGGACTGAACTTCTGCCACTCAGACGCACTGAGAGACAGACACATGCGACACAGACAGGAAATTACAAGAAGGGAGACGGTACACTATCCTGTTTTCTAAAACATAGAACTGCTGTTCTGGCATCTTCAGTTAATGCCAACTGAGCACATCTGAGCTCAGGAGCTAAGCAGAGCCAGGCCTGGTTGTATGGGAGTCCACCTGAGATCCCCCAGATCCTGTGTGTTTGTCCTGCAGGCTGGCATTGCTGTGAGCTGACCACACGGAGAAACTCACACAGTAATATGAAAACAGTGTCATCCCACAGCCTGTTTACACCCTCAACACATCCTTTTTTCTTCTCATGCTTGTGGTGCTGTAGATGTCACTAAAGTTGTGGCCACTTCATTTCAAACTGTTAAAAAATCCCAGCAGAAGCACAAATATTTCTGCACAGTTTGCACAAAATGTGTCTGCTAGCTAAACGTACAGTTGCTGTATTTCCACATGTGGAAATATTAAAAAACTAGTATGGCTGTGTGTGTGTGTGTGTGTGTGTGTGTGTGTGTGTGTGTGTGTGTGTGTGTGTGTGTGTGTGTGTGTGTGTGTTTTACCACAGCCAAGCTCGTCTTCCCCATTTTTGCAGTGAAGTTTTCCGTCACACAGGTAAATGCTGTTGATGCACTGAGACGAGGAGCCACACTGAAACCTCCCCGAACAGCTCAGGCCCACTGTAGGCACAGATGAAACTGTCGATAAGGAAGGTTCTAGAAGTACTGAATGATCTTGTTCAGTGTTCGGTAATACTGCAGACATAAAGAGAAAAGATGGGCAACCTGCATTGTTTCCTGTGGGCACCAGGCAGGAACACCTCTGCTGGTCTGTAATAAGTTGCTTGTGTGGAGTAAATGTTATTTTTGTTTCAGTATTTTTTGTATTTATTGATTATTTACTGAACATTTTATTAATTTGTGTGATTCTGTCTGAGTTGCCATGTTAAAAATAATGCTCCACTAAATTCTGCCTCTGTCATTCTTGGTCATTCTTCACACAGTCCTATTAAGGTTGTGACCACCAACCACGTGACATATCGAACGTGCAACAATCCTGACACTTCAGTGGCTCCATTTTTGCAAAATGTAGAGAGTTACCACAGCACTGAGCTCCTTACATCCAAGGCCAACGCTGAGCAGGACAGCCACCCCGAGGATGCAGCAAACAGCGAATATCAGAACGGCAAAGCGATGGGCTAAGATTCTGCTCTTCCAGCTTTTATCCATGTCATCTTCTGTGGACAGACGGGGTTAGTGAAAATTCGCTGTGCCAACAATATACAATATGAGCACCTGAGTTTCAAAAGTTTTTCATCTCCAACACTAAATGGCTCTTAAGTTTAGGCTTTATTACACTGACTGTGTGCTTTATTTAGTCATCGCATTTTACATCCGAGGAAACACACTGTGTCCCTTTGCAAACACTGATCTAGCAGCAAGATTATTTTGACATTTTTCAAGACGATTGTCAAAATAATTTTCTTCAATATTACTCAGACCTTTTTGGTAGAAAGCAAATTGTAAAAGTCATTTTAAAAAGGGAGACGTAAAGACGTTCATGTAAGAAAGAGCTGAATCTGTAAAAGATCTTTTGCATTGTATTTAGTTGGATTTTGTGCTGATCTCCTTTTAGTTTTAGCCTTGAACAGTAATATTTCCATTATGTCATGCAAGTACATATTCACCCCTGGAGTATCACAGCATCTCACCATGCATAAATGGCTGCACTTTGGTAATGGGCATGGCTGGACTGGGTGGAGGTTGGGGATCTGCGGGTTTAGTGCAATAGTTCCCTGACTGTGGCTCAATGACAAAGCTGCCCAGGGGGCTGATGTTCAGACTGGTGGGGGTCTCGACAGTAGGGAGGTCTTCTTCTGTCACCGAGACCACATCTATCGTGGAGGAGCCTGGTTGCTCCGGTGCGTCTTTCTTTGGTTCCTACGTGTAAGATTGAAAAACAAAAAGGGCAAATCAGATACAATACAACTATAACAATGTTCAGTTTATTTGATAAACTATGTGACATTTACAGCCAACACAAGACTTGCTAGAAAAATGTTTGTGTTATGTGTGACTGTCAAACTAAAACGTCTAAATACCCAAATTTGCTGTAAACCAGAACTAGCTTGGGCTAGCAGCAACATCTGGGCCTGATGATTAAATAGTTGAATTGTTTTCCTAATTGAACTATAAGTCATGGACATGACTGCTCGGGCCCACAGGTCAGCTGACACTGGCCACTATAACTGTTTTAAACACTGGATTAACAAGTATGCAAGTGTGTGTGTTAAAACTATATAAGTAATGAATGCTGCTTGTTAATCAAACTGGCTAAACAAGGCAGATAACAAAACGCTCCACCCTCTCATCAAAATATGATAAATTGTAGCACAAACAAACAAACAAACAAAACGGTCCCTGCCAAATTGCTAATGTTGAGAACTTAAAATGCAAATTCCAGTGGTTATGTCCACCTGTCAACAATTTACATGAACTTGAAACGAGTCGTCACTCATCCAGGTGACTTCTTCAGTCTCAGCTGACTGACCCCAATCTTATAAACAGTACATTTGCACAATGACTGCACCACTGCACCATTAGCACCACTAACGAACAATGAGCTGGGAGGTCAGTTCCTTGATCATTAAGATGCAAATTTTATGACTATTGATGAACAACAACAAACATCCTTTTCAAAAGGTGTTTGAATGAACTGAGAAAGCTCATCTAGCTCAGCAAGAAAAGTCTAAGACCAGGCAACGAAGGACGTTTGACTTATTTGCTGCGTGCTGTTCGTTTGGCTTACTTATTGTAATATGGCGCTCACATCACTTAGTAATGACAACAACGTCCAGCAGACATGGGTAGGTGCACGATTCTGCCAAACTAGAAAGACTATCATGAGAAAACTTTGTGAGACGTGAGAGATGGAGGCAGATGAAACCATGGTCTTGTACGATGTTACATCTCTCTTCACTTGCATCCCAGTCACTGAAGCGTTGAGGGTA